AGTTCGTTTCGTTTCGATTTCAGGCAGGCTCACAGCATTGGCGCATCTTCAGGCTTTTTAATCAAATGCTTCACTAATTCTACAAAGTCCGTTTGGTTTTCATTTTCCGCTTTCCTAGCCAGGGCATAAGCAATTGTCTCAAAATCGTTTTCGGCAATGAGATTTTCAGTTCTTCTTCTTTTTTGCAGTGGACTCAAATTGGCAAATTCTTTTCGAGGACTAAATGTAGCGGTTGATGTCGACACAGCCACACTATGAGGAACAGTGCATTCCGTTGATAAACTAGGTCTTGTTACTGTTGAAATACTTGTTGAAGGATCTTCAAAACTCGTCATAATATTTGATTGTTCTTCAGTTATGTCTAGTGAAACAAACTCTGGCCATTTTATTTCTTAGTCCAACCAGTCAGCAAACTTCTTTATAAAATTCCCTTGTGTGTAATTAGCTGACTTCCATTTGCGTTTAAGATTACTCGTATATGTAGCACAAAACGTTTTAAGAGTTGTCTTTTGTTCTTCAGATAATGAAAATCTCACTGAATCGAGTACTTTTTGAAATAACATGTCGGCACTAAAAGATTTTTGCCTCATATATATATATACGTCGAGCTTAGACACAAGCCCTTCCATTCTGAGCAACTTAAAATTTGAGCAAAGAGAACGTTACGGTACGAATCAATAATGATAAGTGAAATGAAATATAGGTGTACTCCGTATTTATTATAATCGAAGTCATTGTTGAATAATAATAATAACAACGTATTATTTATTCACCTACCCACAATAAAAGCAAATAATCAGTAATTATTATAGGCAAACAACGGCAGGTAATGACTGTGGGTAACCCTTTGAATTCCTCAAAACCTGCAACAATAGAGTTTGTATTGTTTATATGTAATGATGCTCTCGTTAATGGCGCGCGGCTTTTAAGCGATTGTCAAACAAAAGATTAAATTGTAGGCTGTAAAGGACTTCATTGTAATTCTTTACAATATTGTATTCTTGTTTTCTTTTTCTTAAAACTATTTCTTTTATCTATTTATATTAATTCCATATCTTTTGAACAAGGACGCTTTTATTTAAAGTTAAGTTGTATGGTGTCGTTATCTATATATATATGTATAGTTTTATTAGATAATAATCTGCGCTGTATAATAACTAAATGCTGGGCAAGAAACATAAACAAACTGTTTATTGAGACACATAACCCCGTAAAGCAAAATTACCCTAATAAGCATTTTGAAAAATTCGTATCTTTTGAACGGGGCCGTCCGGGGTGAAGGTCAAAGGTCACATGGCTTCGTAACAGACCCGGTAATAATCCCTATAAGTTTCAGCTTGACCGTAGAAGACCGATACAAGTTATGAGCAAAACAAATTCCGTTTTCATACATTTGAAACTCTAAAGCCCGTGCTTTATGGTGTTAGATTAAAAGGAAATTCCCCAAACTATTTTATTATTCAATGTACTGATATGTCCAATAAAACCGCATACCTTAAACGGATAATATACATTTTAATTTTTTCAAAAATCCTATGAAAGGGGACCTCTTTTTTTCACCCACTGTGCGCCAGGTTGATGCCAGCTAAGAATGTTATGTTCAATATCTTTGGTCCTTTAAGAGTATTGATTATGAAATTTTGTAAAGCCAGGGCACTATTTGCGAACTATTTTTGTGTGTCAATTTTGTTGCTTAAATATATGCCATTCTTGGGGTCGGCCATGGGTACGCTAGCTTGACGTCATGGTAGCGTACACAGTAAAAATGGTCTTTATTTCTTAAATTAAAGAGGCACTATTTTTTTTATTTTTACACTAATTTGGCACTATTTACGCAGTATTTAATGGCATAACGAAAAACCGTATATTGATCATGGGTACGCTAGCATCACGGACACCTTTATGTTAGTAATAAACTGTATTTGTTTAAAAGCGATAGTCGCGTGCATGTGTGTGCCATAGTGTTGCCCGATACGTCCGTGTCTCGATAGTGCCTTATGACGGACGTTGAGTTTCGTTGCTCATAATAGGACATTCATTATCATTAATAAATGACACAGATATCCATTTTGTGTTTTATTTCAACCTTCCATTATTCAAACAAATATGTTCAACACACCGGCTACAGAAACACAATGGACTTCTGTTCTTCCAGGCAGGGGTTAGTCTGTACACAATTTGGCTTCTATTTCATTTCGCGGCGGTATACATTGTGCCTTACCCTAATCTTAAAATAAACCTGCAACCTTAGGCAAGCCATACACGCTAGGGTTTACCTGTACAGGTAAAACGGAGCGTGTATGTCACTTAACTGCGCAGGTTTCCACGCCTGTACAGGCAGCTCGAAAAAATCTTAATGCAGGACTTCTATTGAACTGCCTTACTATTTCGTACTATGACATTATGACATCGATTTAGCAGACCTGCTTTTGCACGGTCTAAAACCGTTCAGCATTTTTTATATATGGACGAAGCGTACCATGACGCGCAGTTTGACAGTTTGAAAGTTGTTTTATGAGCGTCTGTAGTATCAAATAAAGCAATCCTTAAAAAGTCCCTCCGTGATTAGCTTTTTCAAGATTGATAAGTGGATTTGGTTAAGCTTAGTGTGAGAATTCTAAAACTTACTGGTTTTAGCAGTCCTGTTTAAGGCTTGCTTTTGAACTGAACGGCATATGGATGGATTCGTATTTACTGATGGTAAGCCCCCAGGTATCTCAATGAGTGGTTATCTGAACATGGTCTTTCTATGCTCCATCCAAAAGTAATGTACTACTTTTTTCTCTGCAAAGAACAACTCCCTACGCCTTTCTCGTCTTGGGTGATGAAGAATAAACTTGCACAGACGAAACTTAATTTAAAGGCCTTATAATAGATTCTGTCAAACGTCAAAGTTTTGTATTGATACGGATTTCTTTGTTGTTGTGATTACTTGCGGTTTTTTGTATTTAATCATGGCTAAAAGGGGTAAAACCTTACAAATATGGTAGAAAAGCACTACTGCCACCTCAAATGTAAATCCCATTCTTTCTCCGCACAGACTCTATGAGTGATGCCTCTCTCATCTCAATTATATCAGTAGTAAATGTGAGAAAAGCATTATTGTCCTCAGAGCCTTCTCAGGCGTCTGGTGGGGCTCTCATCCATACTGCCAAAAACTCCTGTACAACGCAACAGTCGTAGTCGAACCTTGCAATAAGACTACCCTTTCCTCCTTGGACAAAATACTGTCTAGGTGTCCCCGCATAATCGCAGGTACAATGAGATCTTCTCCCATGAATGCCCTACAGGTAGAAACTGGGGATCCTCCTCATAATCTCCGTAGACAACTATTGTCAGATCGAAATTTGTTTAAAATTTCTAAAAACTGTAACCACCCGCTCCTTTCTCGACTTTGTCAGCTTTCCAATCCCATATCTAACCCTAAATACTGGATACATAATACTACGCCCTGCTTAGCTAACAGTTACGAAAAATTGGTTAATGGTCCCCCTATGGCACAATTTCCAGGAAACCCAACAGTTAACGTAAATTATGAGACATTAATATCGAACCAAACATAAACAAAACACCCAGTAGGCAGACCCCTCTTTCCCAGTGGGTACATTGGGCAAGTGCCCAAGGCCCCGCGATCGATAGGGTAGGATTCAGATCAAATACAAAGTCCCTAGTTCCTGTTAGATCACCAAACGGGGGCCTCATTATCCTAATATGTTCAGTCCTCCAATAGGTCAAAGACGTCACTGGCGGTAGGTGCTGCTGTTTAGATCCCTCGCTTTCAAATTATTTTAAGCTTTAAATGCCATGCAAAACCTCTTTCTCGGGAGAAGCCATTGCTTTATATGAAGCCATTAAATATGGTGAGGTCCATTCTGAAAAACTCAACAAACCAATAGTTTGCACAGACTCCCGACGTATTTTGGATGGTATTTTAAAATTCCCTTTACGTGCCAGACAAAACTTTCATATAACTAAAAATCCGGGATCTTCTATTTAACTGCCGTTCTAAAAATATTAATGCGGCCCTTTCATGGATCCCTGGTCATTCTGGCATTAGAGAGTCACAAAACAGCTGACAGTCTTACAAAAGAGGCTATACCGATGGGCTGCCCAACCTATGATAAATGCTTTGCTCAAGATCTAAGAAGCAAAGCTAAAGCCGAATAATATCACGAATAGTTTGCACACTGGGACGACTCACCACAGTCCAAAGGGAAACATTATCGGAGTCTGCAGCCTTTTCTTCCCTCTTAAGCTGTAGTTTTTTAAGTACCGCTCGCGCTTTCTTGATGCTCTCCACTTCTACCATTATCTGCTTGCGTCATGGGCCATGGGTCACATATGCTCCCCTGTCTTATTAAAGAAAATTAGGGATAACTCGTTATGCGAATGTGGTCTCAACGAAGGAAACGTCGATCACATCACATTTTCAAATGCCCTAATAATGGCTTACATATTAAAAATAGATATATGCTGTCCCGGACTTTTTTGTAGAACTATATAAGGGATACAATTCCACCATACATAATATTCATGTAACTTTTATTGTTTTTGCAGTGCAGGCCAAAATGGCTCGCAGATGGGAGATATTTTCCGTCTTACGTGACACTTATTGTTATATTTTGGCCAATTCACCAAATAACAACCTAAATTACTATCATGATAGTTTTTTGTGCATAAGCCAATGTTGACAATCCTAGCGCGACCGCTGATCGTAGGTATGCAAAGTGTGGTACATTCATGAGATTACCTTATGTACTCTCTATTTTGTGGCTCCACAGGGTAGGGGATTTGATCAGGGTGGGCAACGGTGCGAGTGATAGTAGTCGCAAGCGTTGTTGGCTGTTTACCACCAGGTGGGCCATATACATATATGCTTGTTTCCCACCCTTATAACATAAAAAAGTGAAGATTTATTCAAAGTGCATTAAAAAGTAAGATGTTGTGTAAAAAACTACTAATTTAGGAATAAAATATTTCAACTGGCAATACCTTTGCCTGCAAAATGTCAACGTGCATGGCGCGTCGCTTTCGCGTTTTCGCCAATCATTGCCGTGTTAATACAAATAATAAGATAAAGATACCAGAGCGAAATTTATTTCCTATAAGCTGCAGTACGAGTATTCGTTGTATCGCAAAAAATTTGGTAAGCATTTTCATTGAAGATAATTTTTCTATCATAAATTCTTTGGCTTCGATGCAGTCATCAGTTTCGTTTCAAAATTATTTCCAGATAACTTTCAATATCAATCCACCGACTATAGAATATACTCCACCTTCTTACATTTCAACTTAGGGATATAATAAATAATTATCTGGTAGCTGACAGTGCACCGGGAAGTTTTATTTACCTATTTATTTTATCAGCTGTGATAATGATTATGGTTAACCTATTAAATCCCTAATAAGTGTTTTTTTTTTATATAAATGAAATATTATTGCTGGTAATGGAATTTTAAACACATACAATATTTCATATTTCTTTATTTATATCAATTGGAACTTTGGTGTTTATTCTTATTAGAATATAAGTTGTGTTTGTGACAAATAATGGTATTATCAATAGTTTATTACATCTATTAGTCTGTAGGAAATTGTTATCTACTCTCAGTGTCTGTTGTTCTTTTAATAAAATAATTTAATACTAAATGCTATACATAGATAAGATGAAAGTGCAAACCTGCTGTAAAATGTGTTGGGATCTGCAATCATAAGATGTGTCAAATAACAAAAACCACGGCTAAATTAGATGATTATTTTACTCTAAAGTAATTTTAAAGACATGTATAATGTATATATACATAATACGATAAATGAATATAGACAGGTATTTTGAAAAAAAATATATATTTATAATTTTATGGCAGATATACCATATTTAAGAAGTAATTCTGCAAACATAGATCTCTTCTTGTTCTTCTTGTTGCTACGGGCGTTTCCGCAACTCGACGTCCATATGGCGCCTGTTTTGCGTGAGGAGGGTGTATGGCCGGAATCACTCCAGCCAGCCCAGCAATCTATGTTTGTTTCCAGGAAGGATACAAACATAGATATCTTGACATAGATGAAGTTATTGTTGTGTATACACTTTGCATTGCAACAAAATCTAAAAAAAACTATTTCAAAATCACATTAAAATATCATTCATTCCACAATGCTACAGCAAGTACCAACGGCAACAGCATCTGAGTTGCACTAATGTTACGTAATTATTAAAAGTATATAAGCACTTGAAAAGATCGGCGGTTATAACGCTTCAGATGAAGCTTTTCAGTAACATGTCTGACATAACCTTGCAGCCGGCTGTAGGCACACCTGCTACCCTGCCTATGAAGAAACAAAAAAAATCGGCGGTTATCATTTATATTTAAAACTAGTGGCCCGCCCTCGCTTCGCTTCGGTGTAGAGCTGTAGTGTAAACTATAGTATTTGTTCTCAGGCTTGTGCTATAAACAATGACTTTATTTATATAATTACACGTGTTATTGTGAGTCAACCATAAAAGGTAGACATATGCTGTTGCGGGATATTTTTTTGGCAATTTTATGTAGAATATTTCCGTTATACATGATTTCTATGTAACTTTAACCATTAAAGCTGCACACGCGACGGAAGCTTAAAAATAGAGTACCTTCTCCCGTTTTTCCAATATTTCCCTTCACTACTCTGCTCCTATTGATTGTAGCGTCATGAAAAGTATACTATAACCTGCCCAGGAGTATGAAGAATAATTGTACCAAGTTTCGTTAAAATCCGTCGAGTAGTTTTTGTTTCTATAAGGAACATACACACAGACAGACAGACAGACAGACAAAAATTTTACTGAATGCATTTTTGGCATCAGTATCGATCACTAATCACCCCCTGATAGTTATTTTGAAAATATATTTCATGTACAGAATTGACCTCTCTACAGATTTATTATAAGTATAGATAAATTAAAAGTTTTATTTAAAATAATTTAATTAATAGTTTCTCCAAATATTCGAGCATCGGCTGGCCATCCTAGAGGCTGGCGGAGGCCTTGTGTCACTGACACGCTACGTTTACCACTAAAGAAAAACAAACTAATTTTCAAACATATTTTGTAATCTGGTAGCTTTAATAAAGACTTTTTTATTTATTTTAATAGTTTAAAAAACTAAAAACACCCTTATATTTACTGCTCTAAAAAGCCAAAAATAAACTTGCTGTTTACTACATTACATTAGGGCCTTAGAGTTAAATCATGTTAATAGTTTATTTTAACATATATATATACATATATATACATATATATATATATATATATATATATATATATATTGTTTTAATCTTTTATGGTTGTACTATAAGTAGTAGTGTAGATAAATCATGTATGCTCAGAAAGTGTCCCAATCAAGAAGTGCTTAAACACTACTCAAGCAGAGGTCTTCGAAAAAAATCGATAAAAAGAACTATAGTATGTAGTGTCATTTTTTTAAAGAAATAATAAACGTTTGGTTTATAATACTCACTATAAACTGATTTAATAGAAACTATTTGTGATATTCAAATGCATGGTCGGTTGACCTGTTATATTCAGAACAGCGCATTCAGAATTACGCGAAGTCATAGAAATAATGTCTATATTCTTCCCCCTATAGCAACAAGCCGTAAAATTTCAGCATTTCAAAAGGTCATAACTCTTTGACGCGTGCGTTTAAATTAAAACCATAACTAATGTATACTACATTAAATGTGACTTTGAATGTTTAAATAATGCGTTATATTGCTTTTGACTACGCGATCGTCTTACGGAACTCCGTGGATCGTCCAATGTACCTTTTGGACAGGTTTCGGCCCCGATTTTGTTCGCGTTGTTGTATCTAGGGTATTGAAATATCGTTGGTTTCATAATTTAATTCTTCCGGGGGCCTACTTATTAAGGATTGCAAAGTGGCATTGCGCAAACAAATATCAAATTTTTCTGTGCAAAAAAATTATTCATTTTGTTAAACTGACATTACATGTCATTTAAAAAATATAGATATTGTTCATGAACACGCGATTTAGCAGTGTATTGTATACCTAGAGAAATTGGATAGAATTTCACAATTAAGCTGGATGCCTCGGCTGGAAGACGCATCGTGCATCGACACGATACTATGCGGTCGCTGGTGTTCCAGGAAAGACTGTTGTTGTATGGACGCGGTTCGTTGGCTTTCAAAACTGTTCTGATATAAGAAGGCGGCGCGGGCGGCGCGGCGCGGTTATTGTGACGAGGCGCCCGCACGCGGTAGTCGTCGCCATCACCCGCACCCGCGTCACCCGCGTCACCTGCGTCATCCGCGTCATCCGCCATGCGTGCGCCCGGCCGCGGCCGCATCCTGATAATGTGCGTGTTGTTGCAGTGTGCCTTCGCCTCCACCTCCACCGGCCCGCACAACATGAGCTTCGAGTACCCGGCCGCGCGGCGAGACGACACCGTCGTCGACGACTACCATGGCACCAAGGTATACATCCAGGCAAACCTCTCGAGCGACGACCGTGGGACACGCAAGCCTGCGCACTACCAATTTTACATACAAAAACTTCTACTGCGCAATCCTGTGGTTTTAACGGTGCAACTATTAAGCTCATAGCCCCCGAGTAGGCCTATAACACTAATTAATGTTAATTCATCCCGTCTATTAGGCCGGCGTAATCGCCAGATCGGATCTGCTCCACTCGCCGCTGTTGTGTTGTGAAAGTTCACTGCGTTTTATTTCACAACACTTTATTGATTGTCCACGGACGCGTCTATCGGTTCGATTTCTTCACCGATCTTATTGTTTACTTTGGTAGACTTAAATATTTTATCCACTGCCTTTTTAGTTTACGATTAACGCTTGTAGTCTGTTAACTATCAGTGGTACACCAGAAAGTTCTAAGTTGTCTTTGGTGTAATTCAATCATAGATTAAATTAAAGCATATCATATCCGATGTATTCATAGTCGATAGGGTCAATTGGAAAGTTAGCGCGATCAGTAAAAACGTTTTGTACTTAATACCAAACACGTTACGAATCCAAGTCAAGGCAGGTTGTTGTTCAGCCAATACAAAAAAATCTGTGTTCAGTTTTTATTTCAATAAGAGTACCTATTCAAACAACAAGAGAGGTTTTTTGGCCTTCTTTTATAATGGTACTTGGTGCCTAACTACACTTGCTGATATTCGGAGCAGAAATGTCTTTTTAAATTAATAAAAGGTTTTTACTTTTATTTTTAACTGTTGTGTGATAAGCTACAAACTATTCTATAGTAAAAACCTTTTCCAATATATAATATTTTGTTTATCAAAGCAATAAAAAAGAAAACATTATTATTATAAAACATTCATAAACATATTAATTATTATCTATCAAATGGGAATAATTAATCTCATAACCAGTGTAATTGAGGGCGACAATACGCAAACCTTGTGCTCGTTTGTCACGCGTAAATTTAATTTATATTCGAGTAACGAAAATATGGCGTTGCAGTTGGAATTAATGTATTGTTATTGTATGAGGCGTAGGTCATTTTTAACTTTAAGCACGTACGTGCGCTTCTATCATCATAATGTAGTTGTTGATTTACCCTTTGTCAGCATCTTTACTTTTTTCACGAGAACGAGCTATACCTACTTTCGACGCTATGCTGTGTTGAAGTGCACAGGCCTATGAAAGTAGCCATGAATCTCGCTGTCGTGTGACCCGGAGCTCTATTTTTGAATCACTCGCCTTGGGTTGATCGCTCGATTTATACTAATTTTCATTCGACATAATAAATTCCGTATTTTTGAATCGCTCGACGTCAACGAACGGTCTCAACCACTCGTTGCGCGTTGGCGTTGGAGGCGTTCTGTCAGATATTTTCACGATTTTTTCTCAGTCTTTTTAAAATACATATAAGATGACGATTTGCCGCGACATTTTGATATTTTCTAACAAAAAAAAAGCAAAAGATTAGATAACCAGTTATTGAGAATTATACGTTTATTTTTCAGAGCGGTAATAACTGTTTTTTATCTTTTTCCGTGAAATTAAATATATATATAGTATTAAACTGGTAACACTGTAGATGAACGATTCAAAAATACGGAAAATCAGTATCATACGACTTGGAAGTCGAAAGTGACATAAGTCGCATTCGACGATACTATGTCAGGCGAGCGAATCAAACATAGAGCTCCAGGTCTGGGCCTTACTGTAACCATAGATTTAAATCAGAGTCGTTCCTACTTTACCGTTTTTAATACAGTTGATTAATTAATTAAAGGCACTTCAATTGATTACGTATCCAATAAGTTATTACTTTATATCAGTAGAAGTCATTAGTAAACAAACGCATTGCAATGCGGGCGCATTGTAAATATTTATTAAGATGACTTAGTTTTGTTTGGTGCTACCTCGCCGGGAGCATTTTTCTGTATTGTAACATTAAAGATTCGAGCATTACATCAATGAAAGAGGGAAACTGTGCATTACCAATACAAAGGGTCGCTCGCTCAAAATCGAATTCAAAAATGGTACATTACAAGCGAACGCTCCCGGTGAAGGCTCCCCTTTCATTGATACAGATAATATTTCCTAAATAATCAAGTTAAGATCAATGGAAGTAACTTTATCATATCGATTTTATGATGATGTCAGATAAAAGACCCGTACCGCTGGTTGGAGGACCCGGATTCGGAGGAGACCAAGGCGTTCATAGAGGCGCAGAACAAGATCACCCGGCCGTACCTGGACGCGTGCCCCGTCAAGGGGGACATCAACGCGCGCCTCACCGAGCTCTGGAACTACCCCAAGTACTCGTGCCCCTTCCGCCGGGGGGACCGATACTTCTTCTTCAAAAACACCGGCCTGCAGAACCAAAAGTGAGTCAATTCGCGCGTGCACAAAGCACTAATATTTTTCTGTTCAAGGCATAGAATGAGTGAAAAATATTTATAACCATCATTTGTATCATAAATTCTATAAAAAGAATGATCACAAACGCAAACTAAAAGTTTTGTCTAAAATCTTAATATGTTGAATTCATATGTAAAATTTTGTTTTCCCCAAAATTATTAATGAAAAGTATGTGAACCATGTCGCTTTTTGTTTCTTAGGTTTTCACGCACATATGAAACATAGGCGCGAAAATAAGTCTGCAGTGTGTGAACATGCATTACGGGGACCAAACCATTACATTAGATTTCATAAACCACAGATCCTTGCAACTGAGCAACGATTCATTCCTAGAATGATACGCGAGGCTATTGAGATTAAAAATTATCCAAATTTCAATAGGGAAGATGGTTTGTATATACCACCAGTTTGGGAACCCATTATACAAGAGATAAAATCCCAACCCCGAGCACACACTGCAAGACCAACAGATACTATTAGTTCTTTTTGTTTGCATGATTTAACATAAGAAGGAGATAGAAAGCCTCTCTGAGTTTGTTTCGCCGGTTCTTCTCAGAAAGATCTCCCAATTTTGGAACCGGTGGTAGTTTACGGTAGTTAGGGTCAAATAAATAAACTCAAAATTACAAAAAAAGAATTTTAAATAAAGTACTTTATTAACTAAATTAACGAATAAACTCATATATAGAAAATAAAATTTTAAAAATCTTCCAATGAAATAACCGAACGCTCAATAAAAGTCTTTAGAAGGTAGCTCGACAAAATTAAATAAAAAATCAGTATTCTGACGATGCAAACCTGAAAAGGCTGCGAAACGTCAATAAATAAAAAAAGTTTCGTGCATTCAAACTAGTTTTATTTAATGTCGCTTTTAATAGACGAATATCAATTAATGTTCAATCATGTTTAAATGTATACGCCCTTCGACCACGTGTCGCGTCGGAGAGAAGCTATAATTTACCTAGTTAAGTAACGGGTTTGCATTGCGCACGTTCGAGCTATAGCAGCGAAACCTGTTACTATTATAATGCGATTCAAATAAGAATAGGAAAGCCAATGACCTCCATCTGTCAAATGTCGCTTGAAAAGTACGGCTTGCAAAAAAATCTTGGAACCCTTTTTTAGCACTCAGCTAATTATGGAATAAAAACCAAACATTTGTATACAAACAATAACGAATTTATTGAGCTTTGGCTATGAATGGTTGATAACCTAAATCGTCAACCAAATGTCACTTTAAGTTGCATTCAGAAACTCGATTTAAAACTTTCGTACATATAGGATGCATGTTCGTATGTGACCTGCATTATTATTCATAACTACTCCGGTGGCACTGCAGAGATGAGCAGAATTGAAGAGCTAGATTCTGATTAATGTTTTTTCTCACACAGTCTTAATAAAGAAATATTATTAAAAATCGGTTGTTTTTCTCTCAATCTTAGTAAATTTTTTTTTTTAAATCAGATGTTTTTTCTCATTAATCTAAGTAAATAAGTTTTATTAAATAGAATATTTTTTGCTCACTCTACCTATTTGGTTTGAATTGACATCTATGACGTCAAAATATGGCGCCCGGTCGGTCCTGCTCTTAGTTGAATCGCATTATAGCAGCGAAACCTGTTGCTATTATTATTCTTATACATGATGTTTTACTATTAACTTCAAATTTTATAGTAACGATTCTCTGTAATCAGAATCTGTTCTCGCGTTGACTTGCTACCAAATCTGACACAACTGGAACTCGAAGGCAATCGTTATCATTAACAGCTTGGATTATACAGGGCGTCCCATGGGTTTGTCACCGGAGGGAAAGTATATTAAATATTCAAGATAGGATATTTTACTGAAACAAGCCATTATTTTATTTTTAATAAGAAATAGATCTGCATTCACAATATTTTTCTAAATCGCCTGCTACAACTAGGAATCAAACTCGTGAAATTTGAGGAAAAAAAAACACGGCGTATTTTGTGATAACCATCGAAATAGGATTATTTTTTTCTAAATGAAAGGAAGATCATGAAATGAAAATTTTGTTACTTTTCCGTGCTGGAAGCACAGCTTATGTTATCATTTCAAAGTACCAAATAATTTATTGCATTCATGTAGTTACAGAGATGGTTAAATATATGTTATAAAATACGTTACTGGAACCCTGTCAGCGCAATACTTGGTGTTCTTATGAATAAAATTTATAATAATCTTATACACAATTTAAATATTTTTTTCTTGAATTTACGTAATATAAATATCTACTATCAAAATTCATATATTTCATCAATTATCCCATAAAAAATATATTAATAATTGATTTGAATTGAATTATAAAATACTAGCAAACCAGTGAACCAAATGTTCACCAATTAAAAAAAAAAGTATTTAATTAATTGAGAACTTCGGATTTTGTGTGGTTTCGTTTGAAATTCGTTTCTCGAAAATTTCTCGAAAACCGGAAGTGCTACGTTACTCAAATCCGGTTTGTAGTCTTATCAGACTATTCTTAACTTATAACTTAAACATTCTCTTTATCTATCTCTTACGGTTTGGCCGCTGAAACAGCACCACGGACGGACGGACTTGTCTAATAGATAAGAGATATGAAGTATTTACTAACTAGTACCTGCTCACTTAATAATATAGGATCCATGATCGCGGAGTAACTGTGGCGCTTGCAACAGTGCCGCAATATCAAAGACTCATAAACAACAAGCAACATGCTAACAATCCCCTTAATAGCTATAATCTTAATGACCATAAAAGTTTAAAATAATATAAAGCGATACATATATAAACCTATCACTGTTTCTTTTTTTTATTGTAGTTTGTGTTCAATTATTTAAAAAAGTCATATTTCGTGATTTTTCTCTTATTTACAATGCTATGTTATTTAGGATATAATAATCCTCATGATTTACTCTTTCAATGGTTATCATATAATGCATGTGTTTTTTGCTTCACATTTCACCAGTTTTATTCCCGATTTTGACTAGCGTTTTTTTTTAAACTGTAAATGCAGTTCTACTTATTATTAAAAATAAAATCATGTCTTCTTTCAGTAAAATATGTCGTCTTCAATATTTAATATACTTTCCCTCCGCGTGACCAACCCGTGGGACGCCCTGTATAAACTTGGTTGGAATAAAGAGATCAGGTCTCGAATCACCACGCGATTCCATTAAGGATTGCCGGGTGCCAACGAGTGCATATACAACCGAGACCGACGGCTTAACGTGCCTCACGAAGCACGCAGGAGCCCGGGGTCTCTCGGTCACTCATCGGACATGCCGACGATTGCAACGTCCATTTCCCACGGTTTGCATTATTGCGGATGGTGGCATCGTTCGAGCAGTCAAAGAGCCTCGGTCCGCGGTCGTCGCCGGTCCGTAGACACGGTGCCTTCAAGTGGTCGATATTGATATGATGGGTGTTGCGCGTCGGTGGCTTTGCCCGCAGCGTGCTGTACGTGCAGGAGGGGCTGGAGGGCACGCCGCGCGTGTTCCTGGACCCCAACGCGCTCTCCGAGGACGGCACCGTCGCCTTGTCCGGCAGCCGCTTCTCCGAGGACGGCGCCACGCTGGCGTACGGCCTGTCCGCGTCCGGCTCCGACTGGATCACGATACACTTCAAGGACGTGGCCACCGGTACGTACTATACTCTCCGAGGACGGCACCGTCGCCTTGTCCGGCAGCCGCTTCTCCGAGGACGGCGCCACGCTGGCGTACGGCCTGTCCGCGTCCGGCTCCGACTGGATCACGATACACTTCAAGGACGTGGCCACCGGTACGTACTATACTCTCCGAGGACGGCACCGTCGCCTTGTCCGGCAGCCGCTTCTCCGAGGACGGCGCCACGCTGGCGTACGGCCTGTCCGCGTCCGGCTCCGACTGGATCACGATACACTTCAAGGACGTGGCCACCGGTACGTACTATACTCTCCGAGGACGGCACCGTCGCCTTGTCCGGCAGCCGCTTCTCCGAGGACGGCGCCACGCTCGCATACGGCCTGTCCGCGTCCGGCTCCGACTGGATCACGATACACTTCAAGGACGTGGCCACCGGTACGTACTATACTCTCCGAGGACGGCACCGTCGCCTTGTCCGGCAGCCGCTTCTCCGAGGACGGCGCCACGCTGGCGTACGGCCTGTCCGCGTCCGGCTCCGACTGGATCACGATACACTTCAAGGACGTGGCCACCGGTACGTACTATACTCTCCGAGGACGGCACCGTCGCCTTGTCCGGCAGCCGCTTCTCCGAGGACGGCGCCACGCTGGCGTACGGCCTGTCCGCGTCCGGCTCCGACTGGATCACGATACACTTCAAGGACGTGGCCACCGGTACGTACTATACTCTTCGAGGACGGCACCGTCGCCTTGTCCGGCAGCCGCTTCTCCGAGGACGGCGCCACGCTGGCGTACGGCCTGTCCGCGTCCGGCTCCGACTGGATCACGATACACTTCAAGGACGTGGCCACCGGTACGTACTATACTCTCCGAGGACGGCACCGTCGCCTTGTCCGGCAGCCGCTTCTCCGAGGACGGCGCCACGCTGGCGTACGGCCTGTCCGCGTCCGGCTCCGACTGGATCACGATACACTTCAAGGACGTGGCCACCGGTACGTACTATACTCTCCGAGGACGGCACCGTCGCCTTGTCCGGCAGCCGCTTCTCCGAGGACGGCGCCACGCTGGCGTACGGCCTGTCCGCGTCCGGCTCCGACTGGATCACGATACACTTCAAGGACGTGGCCACCGGTACGTACTATACTCTTCGAGGACGGCACCGTCGCCTTGTCCGGCAGCCGCTTCTCCGAGGACGGCGCCACGCTGGCGTACGGCCTGTCCGCGTCCGGCTCCGACTGGATCACGATACACTTCAAGGACGTGGCCACCGGTACGTACTATACTCTTCGAGGACGGCACCGTCGCCTTGTCCGGCAGCCGCTTCTCCGAGGACGGCGCCACGCTGGCGTACGGCCTGTCCGCGTCCGGCTCCGACTGGATCACGATACACTTCAAGGACGTGGCCACCGGTACGTACTATACTCTCCGAGGACGGCACCGTCGCCTTGTCCGGCAGCCGCTTCTACGAGAAAGGCACCGTCGCGTTGTGTGCGATTCAAATTTAATGACGGCTATGAAGTTGATGCAAGGGGCCGCAAACGAAATGAAAGTTTATTTAGGCGCGCGCGGGATGACACTTGACTGAAATCTGCACATAGTTGCGCTCGCTGCTAAATTCACAGCCTTCATAAAGTTTGAAATGCACTTATTCTATACAACATTAAAGCAATGTACATCTCTTATTGTTTACCTATCCTGAGGTTAGATTATCATTATTAATTCTTTGCAAATCTGAACCCTAAGTAATTTAATTAATGTTTTTGCTGGTATTGGTGTCAATTCTAGTATGATTCTCTAAACCTAAACTTAAATTTAACAGCAGTATATCCTTGTCATTTTCTATACAGAATGAAAAGGAGAGACTGATGTTAAATTTAGTTTTAAGTTTAGAGAATCACGCCAGAATTGGCACCATTATCTAGCTCAGAATTAAATTTATAAACAGTCAACTTTGTTTTACGACATCTTTTTATATTTATCAAAATACGTTCTATGGGCCCAATAAAATAATTAACTTTTAAATTAAATTTCATATCAGTCCCTCTTTTTCTTTCCCTGTAGAGCATGACAAGGATGTATATTGTCAAATGTAGTTTGTTTATTTTAGTTGAAGCATGATTCATGCCAGAATCAGACCCAATTTAATTTATCACCGCGACTGATGTTCCAAATACAAATTTAAAGACTTTTTCTTTGGTTTAAACTGATTTAATATTCGTTGAAACGATGAATTCATGTGTTGAATGTAAACATCATTGTTCATTGAACCCGAGAGATTGGTTACAAGAGCTTCTGTTGACTGCAAATGTTTTGAATCCAAACAATCATTTACTAGTCTGCAATACCAGTAATATTTTGACGACCTCCGTGGCCGAGTGGTTTGTACGCCGGGTTTCATGGTGTCGCCGACTCTAGAGGTCCTGGGTTCAAATCCCGGTGGGGGCAGATGTTTGTGTGATGAATACGAGCATTTGTACTCCATTCATGGATGTTTAATATGTATTTTCTATATAAATATACTTATATATGTACAGTATATGTATTCTATTCGTTACCCTAGTATCCCATAACACAAGCCTTATAGTGCTTACTTTGGGGCTAGGCTAATTGGTGCGAGTGTTGGAAATATTTATTTATTTTATATTTATTTATTTTAAAAAAGTATAGCATGACGTATTTGTCTTTACAGGTAAAGATTATCCCGAAGTTTTAGAAAAGGTCAAATTTGCATCTATGTCATGGACCAAAGACAACAAAGGTTTATTCTACTCTGTAAGTAGCTACTTGGTTTTTTTTTCAACTGACGCATTCAAAATGTTTAATACTTGTAAAGGTATTCATTTGACATAGTGGGTTACCTACAATGCGAAGAGATGGCGCTGCCTTGCAGCCTAAGGCTAGAGTAAATTCGACACAGCCTTCAGGGCCGCGGTAGCATAATGCAGTGCATTCGCCCGGATAGCGAAGGGTGCGGGTTAGAGTCCCGTCTGCTGCCTGGTCCGCGTGGAATTTTTTCTAGTAATTTTTTTTTAGATTTAAACATCTAGCAGTTAAATACTTAAGGATTTTTTAAGTATTTAACTGCTAGATGTTTAAATCTAAAAAAAAATTACTAGAAAAAATTCCACGCGGACCAGGCAGCAGACGGGACTCTAACCCGCACCCTTCGCTATCTAATACTACTGCATTCAAGTAACGTGCTCAGTACGAGAAAGGCAAGGCAATTTAAGTGGTTATGTGTATTGACTTTGAGGTCCGCAGCCATTGTATCAGCAATTATAGTTATCGACTTGTTTATTCCATAGCACTGTCGTTGCTATTAGAATTGCAAATCTTTTATTTTAGTTCAGGGATTTTAGCTATAACATTGGCATCCAATCATGATGGCCCTGTTTGGAGCCTTGTTTAAAATCGATGCGATGGCAATCTCGGAAATGATAAAGAGCGAAAGAAAACCCGTATCCACTGGCTGCTAACATTCCAGTGCAGTTAGTAAAATGCTTTCCATCAACATACTATTTATCTATTTATTTATTTATACTTCTCACAGTCAAAATGGGTTCGGCCCAAGAACAGAGTGCCAAGCACGAATTTTGACTACGTAATCGTATCGTCATCGTAAAATTCTTACGTCCGGTACGACGCGATACTATTACGCGGACAATGTAAAAAATAACATGATTCAACTGTTTCTTATGTTTCTCTACTTGAACATTTTTTATGCCTAAACAGTAGGACACGGCATTCCTAAAAATTCCTAAACTTTTTAATCAGTTTTTAAAATTTTTAAATTTATATTATAGTCATAATTTATATATCGTTTACATTTTTAATGGAAAGTGACTTTGAAAAGTTATCTAATATTGAAGTCATTTTTCAACATTGTATATAATACAGGGAGAAAAACAGCTCTTGCTGAGTTGGTTGCCGGTTCTTCTCAGTACAAAGTCTCCCGCCGTAGATTAGCGAACCGATGGCGTAGCTTTTCGACATTCACAAGTGCTTGTAACAGCCTAGACCAGCTATACTCTAAGTGTGTTCCGCGGAACCCTAGGGTTCCGTGATACCTCTGTCGGGGTTCCGCAAGAATTTAGAAATAAAAAAATCAAAACACCTCTCTCTGGTCGCTCCGCGGCTGTGCGGACTCCGCGGCCGCGCGGAGACAAAACGCTATGAATGTTATTTATTTATTTATTTGTATTTGTATAAGCTTGTGTTACATTAGCTGGTACAATATCTCATAAGTTTGGTCTCAACAATTTTATACTTGTACAACGCGTTCGCTCTAAGTTTGCCGGTCTGTGGAATGCGCGTACCCTCCCCCACGTGACAACAAAACTTATAATGTGTCATAGTTTTACCCAAATATCTAACGTACACAATTTTTATTGTTACAATTAAATAAAAAATTTCGAACGTCATACACTCATACCTATCGCCAGCGGCAAACTTAAAACGAGCGGGTAGTATACTTGTAAGCGCTCAGTCTCTTTGATAAAAGCCGCCTCTGAATTAGACACTATAGTTGTCAACTAGCGACTTTCGTCTCTAACTTCAAAGGATAAAGTCGATATTGTTTACAACGCTATTTTTAAATTTCTGTTTTTATTTTTGCTTTTTGTTTATCAAAGGTGCCGACTCGAGTATTTTCGAGAATATTTGAGATCGAGTCTAGGACTAAGTATAAAAGCGGCGATCGCGCGTTGGCGTCGTCAGTTGATGATTAGCGTTCGGAGCGATAAGTTACTACCTACTTACAAGCTCGCTAGCGAGAAACTGGTGTTCATTGTTTTACTGCCTGCTGTATTCTGTTGTCTCAGTTTTATACATTTCTTCCCTGTAGGTTCTAAATTTAGTCTCTTATACGCAGTAACGATTGTGCATTATTTAAACCCCACTATCCTGACTTGTAACATTATAAATAAAGAAGAATGGAACGTTGGCTTAAAGGTGTTAAACGTGTTCCAACAACATCTTCTAATGACGCTGAATGTTCAAAAGCAATGCGCGCGGAGAATTTAGCAATCACCGATCCAGAAGATGATGCCACGAGTGCCACGACGTCAAGCTCGACGGTTTCAAAGACGAAAAAAAGGAAGTATGATGAATCTTATATCAGTTTCGGATTTGTTGATTCCAACGGCTCACCTCTCTGCATGCTCTGTAGTAAACTGCTTCCTAATAGTTCCATGGCACCTGCCAAATTGCGTCGACATTTAGAAACCGTACACCCCGAGACTAAAGACAAGAATAAAGAATTTTTTGTTCGCAAAAAAGATCAGTTATTAGAAAGTCAAAAAAATATGATGCATGTAACACAAACTACCAACGAAAAGGCCACGGAGGCATCATACTTAGTTAGCTATCGCATTGCACAAGCAGGTGAAGCGTACACTATCGCTGAGAAATTAATAAAACCATGTGTATTAGACATAACAAAATGTATGCTTGATGAAAAATCTGCAAAGCATCTTTCTACTGTTCCGCTATCAAACGATACTGTTTCACGACGAATCCATGATCTGGCAAGCTACGTCAAACAAGAACTAGTTACACGTCTACAAAATACACGATTCGCTTTGCAAATGGACGAGTCGACTGATGTCGCTGGTTTGGCTATCCTGCTGGTTATTGTGAGATATCCATATAAAAGTTCTTTTGAAGAAGACATGCTTATGTGTTCATCGCTGCTTACAAACACTACCGGGGAAGAAATTTTTAATAAAATAAATATATTTTTTGAAGAACATAATCTCAGTTGGAACAATTGCATTGACATTTGTACAGATGGGGCCAAGGCGATGACAGGTAAAACAGCAGGAGCAGTGTCACGAATGAAAAATAAAGCGCCTAATTGTAGTTCCAGTCATTGTATTCTGCATAGACAAGCACTTGCGATGAAGCAAATGCCGTCTAATCTAAAATTAGTTATGGATGAAGCGGTAAAAATAATTAATTTTATCAAATCACGACCACTACAATCCCGATTGTTCTCATTATTGTGTGAAGATTATGGCAGCAAACATAAAACACTGCTGCTCCATACAGAAGTGCGATGGCTGTCTCGGGGAAAAACTTTAACAAGGCTATTTGAACTTAGAGCCGAGTTACAAATGTTTCTTTCAGCAGATACTTCTTTTAATTTGAAGGACCGTTTGTATGATAAAACTTGGTTGTTCCGATTGTCTTTTATGGCGGATATCTTTCAAAAACTTAACGAATTAAATTTATCATTGCAAGGTAAACAGACAACAGTGTTTCAGGCCTATAATAAAATAACTACTTTTAAAAGAAAATTAGATTTTTGGATCATTTGCATTGGTAAGAAAGAAATAGAAAGTTTTACGTTACTCACTGAGTTTGTTAGCGAAAACGACTCAGAAATGTTTGAAGATAATGTGTTTGAAGAATTGGTCCAATATCTCAGTTCGATGCGCGCATCTTTTGAAAAGTATTTTCCCGAAGAACACAATACAAAAATTAAAGTGAACTCCTGGATTCATAATCCTTTTTTACCCAACTTGGAAAAGCCTGAAAACATGTCAAATGAGATATATGAATCTCTTTTAGAAATGTCATCAGACACAAGTATGGAGTCATTGTTCAAAACGACGCCTCTTAATGATTTTTGGTGCAGAATCCAAGATGAATATGCAATGCTTGGCCAAATGGCTCTGGATATTCTTCTCCCGTTCCCAACTACATATTTGTGCGAAACAGGATTCTCTACCTACGCAGCCACGAAAACAAAATATCGCAATAGACTGGACGCCGAAGCTGATATGAGACTCCAACTTTCTTCCATCAAACCTGATATCAAGCAATTGATGAAAAATAAAAAACAGTTTCATACCTCCCACTAGTTAGATTTTTTCTTTTTTAATGTTTTCTATTATTGTCCTTACCAAGTGGTGAAGTAAATAATAATTAGTAACGGATACATTGTACTTTTATTATGCTGATTAATATAGAATACACTTATAAAAATAATTGTTTTATTGTAGGGTTCCATCAAGTATTTTGCTTCCCAAAAGGGTTCCGTCATTTAAAAAGTTTGAGAACCACTGGCCTAGACTGAATAAACTATATTGAATTTTACCGTGTTAAAAATACTACTTTTATACTAGCATATTTTATAACACATATTTTATGCTACGCATGCCTACTTAGAATTCAATGGCATACTTAGAATGACGGCGGCGACAAACAAGTTAAACAGCTTACGGTTAACTGCAATAGTAAAGTACTATTAACGTCGCAGACAAGGTTTATACTCGTACATAAACGTTACACGTGAAGACCATACTATACATTGTTTACATTATTTATTGCTTTAAATGGCGAACTATCGATCCATAAGCATTGATTTTAGTTTAGAATATGAAGTTGAACATGACAATTTATTTATTATTATGTGTACTTTTCGAATTGAATGCAAAATACGTTTTTGTTTTGATTGGATAGCAATATTATAGCTAAAAACCGTGAACTAAAATAAAAGTTTTTCAATTCTAATCAACGACAGTGCTGTAGAATATCCTAGTACGAACATTTTTGTCCTACCATATGTAATGGACATTTACTGCAAAGGATAACGGATGATCAAATTAGATTTACACCTTTGGACAGCGAATTGATAATGTAATAATATTAAAAAAAATACTTCAAAGAATTGGTGATTCAAGACATTTGAAATTTTGGAAAAGTCTGTTGATATTAATGGAACATTTTTTTGTGGACTTTTCATAGGAGTTTCTTACACCCTTGATAGGAAGTTCAGATTTAAGGATTTTTGTCTGTAATATTTTATTTTATTTATTTATTTGTTGCAATTACAAACAAATAGGACCATTAGTTTGCATACTGAATACACATATTACGCTAGTAACAAATCTCCACAATTATGTACCAAATTAGAATAACTAGAGGACAATTAAGGTTTTTTCTTTGAGGAGCTCGATGGCGCAAGTGGTTAGCGCGTTCGGCTGCGATCGTTGTAGTTGAGCAACTTTCACAGTGGTCGGTTAATGGATGGGTGACCAAAAAATTCTATATCGAGTTCCTTCGTGCTTCGGAAGGCACGTTAAGCCCCGTTGGTCCCGGTTGCACCTGCAGTCGTTAGCACCCGCCAATCTGATTGTTGTCTTGTTGTTGTCAATAAGGAGATTGGGCCATGGCCCAATCTCCTTATTCTATCCATAGGGAAGGCCTGTGCCCTAGCAGTGGGGACATTAAGAAACTGATGATGATGATGAATTAAGGTTTTGAAAAAAAAAAGAATAAAGAAGAACAAAGTTAGCACAATAGTTACAATAGACAGACATAACAAGCCATGGCCCAATCTCCTTATTCTATCCATAGGGAAGGCCTGTGCCCTAGCAGTGGGGACATTAAGAAACTGATGATGATGATGAATTAAGGTTTTGAAAAAAAAAAGAATAAAGAAGAACAAAGTTAGCACAATAGTTACAATAGACAGACATAACAAGCCATGGCCCAATCTCCTTATTCTATCCATAGGGAAGGCCTGTGCCCTAGCAGTGGGGACATTAAGAAACTGATGATGATGATGAATTAGGTTTTGAAAAAAAAAAGAATAAAGAAGAACAAAGTTAGCACAATAGTTACAATAGACAGACATAACAAGCCACAATGACAGAAACTGCACTTATATTTCTCAAATTTAACGTGAATTTCTAATGCGATTAGCATTAGAAATTCACGTTAATTCTTCAAAGAAACTTAAATTTTTGTCTTTTTTTACCGATGAAATGCTGGATCAAAACAAGTCAATACCAAATGGAAGTTGATTGAAGGTGTTGCATGCTCGTATCATATGAGTTGGTTCTATAACGTGTTTTCGCTGACTGGGGGCACAAAACTGACCTTGCGCCAATCGAAGTAGGTTAGTTTTAAGGTTCAAAGCGGACAACGGTTCAGGACAATCCAGTTTTCCTTTTGTGATATAATATATTTAATTAAATAAATATTTTTAGCAACTCCCTAAAGTAAGCACTGAGTGTCTTGTTGTGTGTTATGTGATACTAGGGTAACGGATAGAATATATTCTTACGTTATGGGGTTCGAAATTATATGCCAGTTCACGCTTGACAGTTCTTTATTCACCACACAGTTCACATAATTAACACACAATGCTAATTACAAAACACTCACTAAACACGGTATTTCACTATACAAGTCTCTAAACAATGTTACTTGAACACTTTTGTTGCACTTTGATCGCCTTTGGATTCGCTCCGAAAACGCTATTGAAACTCAACTGTTTCTGCGCGGCGCCAATCGCGCTTATATACGCCGATCGACGCATTCTAAAAAGTACCTGTTAAATTGAGAATTAGCTAGCACCCGCGAGTACGAAGTACCTACTTATACCTACGCAGGTAACGCGCATAACTTGTAAACAAGTGTAGATGTCGTTGCACTTTCTCCCTTACGCCGCACTGCATAAGGCTCATTTTAGAATGAGCCGCATTACTCGACCTCTATCGCGACCCGCGGTGCTCTGGCACATTCGATCTCTAGCACATTCGCGGTTCTGTTTCGAGAGCTTTTATGACAATATAATTACAATACATACATACATATGAGAATATTTTATGTAGAAATACACATATAGACATCATGACTTCGGTACAAATGTTCGTATTCATCATACTAACATGTGCCCTACCGGGATTCGAACTCGGGACCTCACGAAGTAGGCTATACCTTGAAACCCGGCGTACACACCTCATACCGGCGTACGTACGGCCACGGAGGTCGTCAATAATTAATCGTTTCGTAATCGACTTTCTTTTGGAATTTATTGATAGCTCGTCAGTGTGGAGTGTAGTGAACTGTGTGTTGTGTTCCCGGCAGCGATACCCCGAGCAGACGGGAAAAACGGACGGGTCGGAGACGGAGGTGAACCGCGACCAGAAGCTGTGCTACCACCTCCTCAACACCACGCAGGCCGACGACGTGCTCGCCGTCGAGTTCCCCGACGAGCCGCTCTGGAGGATGTCAGTATAACACACTACTACCCTTTGCCGGAATCTCTGTTTCCGGTCACCTACAATCTGGGGCTCTTCAAGTCGCGAGTCAATCGATTTCTTCTAGGCGAGCGCGTACCACCTTAGGCTGCTACGTCGCTCTTCATCAGTCGCCTGGCTATCAAGCGTAAGCCTATTTAATGTAAAAAAAAAACAAAAAAAACAGTCTATGCGGACAGAGAGTAGCGTGGCCAAAAACGGAACTAACATTAACATTTTTATATAGCAATCCAATCCGGAGGAGCTCGATGGCGCAGGTGGCTAGCGCGTTCGGCTGCGATCGTTGAAGTTAAGCAACTTTCGCAGTGGTCGGTCATTGGATGGGTGACCAAAAAATTTACTATCTCGAGCTCCTCCGTGCTTCGGAAGGCACGTTAAGCCGTTAGTCCCGGCTGCATTTGCAGTCGTTAGCACCCACCAATCCGCACTGGGCCCGCGTGGTGGGTCATATCCCGATCTCCCTATTCCATCCATAGGGAAGGCCTGTGCCCCAGCAGTGGGGACATTAATAGGCTGATGATGATGATGATGATGATAGCAATCCAACCCAGCCATCTGTCAAACGTCAAAGTTTTGTATTGATACGGATTTGTTTGTTGTTGTGATTTCTTGCGGTTTTTTGTATTTAATCCTGTCTAAAAGGGGTAAACCCTTACAAGTTCGGTAGAAAAGCACTACAGCGCCCTCCAATATAAAACCCATTCTCTTTCCGCACAGACTCTATCATGCTTTTCATGCTTCACTTGTCAATTTATATAAATCAGTAAAATGAGAAATTCAATTTAAGATAGTCATTTGATTACATTTTTTTTGGGGTGTCTATAAAATTTTATTGTAACTTGACTGATATGCTGTTAATAATAAAAATGTTTAAAAGTAAACGATGGGAAATCATACCCTTCGCAATGAGGTTAATATTCAAAAATGTTTTTCAATTCAAAAATATTTATACTTGACATTTCAGCATTATATATACGTCTAGATATTTCAACCTTATTACAATGCCAATACTCAATCTACATTTCGTGGAAATATATCCTCGACTGTATATTTCCGGCTTTGAATTGAATCGAGCTAGTTAAAGTAATTTATCATGTGGGTAACGCCACTCCCAAAAGAGTCATGTAAAATTTATTGACCTGTGTCGCAAACTTTAGCAACAATTCTCAATCTCCGAAAAAAAAGTACTTCCCAGAAGGCGCACAGCGGGAAAAAAAATTCAGGTGATTCGATTCACCAAGAATTTTGAGGAATCGATCGAGTAGAAAAAAATCGTTAATAAAAATGTTCGTTTTTGGACGATTTAAATTCTTTTTAAAAATTGACGTAGAATTTTTTTTTTTAAACTAATGTATTTTTCTCTCCTCAACTCGAATATACTATTCTGAATATATATATATATATATATAATATTATATATATATAATACTAATATACCCTGAGAATTCCGATTATGAACCGGAAGAAAAAAGAACGAAATTAATTTTATTAGAAATATAGAATACAACGCAGTCTTGTAATCGAATTTTAGTTAATAGTTTTGTAAATAATTTCTGAACATAAATAAACTGAATTTTTTAAATTTTCAATCGTATATTCGAGTTGAGGAGAGAAAAATACATTAGTTTAAAAAAAAAAATATTCTACGTCAATTTTTAAAAAGAATTTAAATCGGGAGATCTCTTGGGAGTGGCGTTACCCACATGATAAACTACTTTAGAAATCAAAATGTTTATTATAACATGTTGAATTGTTGCAAACGTAAAACCGACATAATTGCAATTTACTGCTAAACTAACAATCTCACGTTATTTTTTCATAGAACTGATTTTGTAGAGGGCAAGCTAATGAACAACTTTGATTCAAAAAAATTTTCAAAATCCCCGTTTACAAGCAAAAAAACTCAAAAAAAAACGGTTTTTCTTTGTTTAAACAATTTTCCTGGCTACAAAACACGGGTTCTAGCGGGGACAAATGGAGGGCATATTCGTGGGGGTCTATACTATCTAGGAAAAAATTGGCTAAACGCTGGTGTCTTAGAATAGGTCTCATGTTTATTCCGACTGGACTACGTGTCTTTGGTAGGATTACGAGCTTGCGTGCCGTTGACGGCTGGTGGATGGGGAGTTAGACTGTTATTTTTTTTCAATTTGTTCAATCATTATGTACAAAAACGAAGTAATTTATTATTTCACTTTGAATAAGTCATGATTATACTATTGTCCATTATGCAGCGGCGCGGAGGTGACAGATTGCGGGCGGTACCTGATCGTGTCCCCCGTGAGGGACTGTCGGGACAACCTGCTGTTCTACACCGACCTGTCTCTACACGGGCCTCTGCAGCCCCGTCTGCCCCTCACGCAGATCGTGCACCACTTCGAGGCCGACTATGAGGTGAGTGTGCCCCACAGCCCCCTCCCGTGCCCCGCGTGCCCCCGTGAGGGACTGTCGGGACAACCTGCTGTTCTACACCGACCTGTCTCTACACGGGCCTCTGCAGCCCCGTCTGCCCCTCACGCAGATCGTGCACCACTTCGAGGCCGACTATGAGGTGAGTGTGCCCCACAGCCCCCTCCCGTGCCCCGCGTGCCCCCGTGAGGGACTGTCGGGACAACCTGCTGTTCTACACCGACCTGTCTCTACACGGGCCTCTGCAGCCCCGTCTGCCCCTCACGCAGATCGTGCACCACTTCGAGGCCGACTATGAGGTGAGTGTGCCCCACAGCCCCCTCCCGTGCCCCGCGTGCCCCCGTGAGGGACTGTCGGGACAACCTGCTGTTCTACACCGACCTGTCTCTACACGGGCCTCTGCAGCCCCGTCTGCCCCTCACGCAGATCGTGCACCACTTCGAGGCCGACTATGAGGTGAGTGTGCCCCACAGCCCCCTCCCGTGCCCCGCGTGCCCCCGTGAGGGACTGTCGGGACAACCTGCTGTTCTACACCGACCTGTCTCTACACGGGCCTCTGCAGCCCCGTCTGCCCCTCACGCAGATCGTGCACCACTTCGAGGCCGACTATGAGGTGAGTGTGCCCCACAGCCCCCTCCCGTGCCCCGCGTGCCCCCGTGAGGGACTGTCGGGACAACCTGCTGTTCTACACCGACCTGTCTCTACACGGGCCTCTGCAGCCCCGTCTGCCCCTCACGCAGATCGTGCACCACTTCGAGGCCGACTATGAGGTGAGTGTGCCCCACAGCCCCCTCCCGTGCCCCGCGTGCCCCCGTGAGGGACTGTCGGGACAACCTGCTGTTCTACACCGACCTGTCTCTACACGGGCCTCTGCAGCCCCGTCTGCCCCTCACGCAGATCGTGCACCACTTCGAGGCCGACTATGAGGTGAGTGTGCCCCACAGCCCCCTCCCGTGCCCCGCGTGCCCCCGTGAGGGACTGTCGGGACAACCTGCTGTTCTACACCGACCTGTCTCTACACGGGCCTCTGCAGCCCCGTCTGCCCCTCACGCAGATCGTGCACCACTTCGAGGCCGACTATGAGGTGAGTGTGCCCCACAGCCCCCTCCCGTGCCCCGCGTGCCCCCGTGAGGGACTGTCGGGACAACCTGCTGTTCTACACCGACCTGTCTCTACACGGGCCTCTGCAGCCCCGTCTGCCCCTCACGCAGATCGTGCACCACTTCGAGGCCGACTATGAGGTGAGTGTGCCCCACAGCCCCCTCCCGTGCCCCGCGTGCCCCCGTGAGGGACTGTCGGGACAACCTGCTGTTCTACACCGACCTGTCTCTACACGGGCCTCTGCAGCCCCGTCTGCCCCTCACGCAGATCGTGCACCACTTCGAGGCCGACTATGAGGTGAGTGTGCCCCACAGCCCCCTCCCGTGCCCCGCGTGCCCCCGTGAGGGACTGTCGGGACAACCTGCTGTTCTACACCGACCTGTCTCTACACGGGCCTCTGCAGCCCCGTCTGCCCCTCACGCAGATCGTGCACCACTTCGAGGCCGACTATGAGGTGAGTGTGCCCCACAGCCCCCTCCCGTGCCCCGCGTGCCCCTCACGCATCTCGTGCTACCTTGGGCTTGCAACGGCATTAAATCTGCCGTCAACATTGCCATCGACTTAGACTTGGTGACCAAATTCTTTGTCGCACTCTCCGCAAATGGAATGCTTTAGCCACTCACGTGTTCTTTCCCTCTTAAAACATGGCGCTTCTTTAAAGGAGGCATGAAGAAGCAACTTGCAGGTGTTGCTGGCCTGGCGCTGGCTAGTGTGGCAGGTAAAACACGCGTCTGTATTTCACCGTCACTTTGCATCAGTTGAGGTGGAGGTCAGTAGCTCATATAAAAAAGGAGATGTCTAGTTATGATAACAAATTAATAGAAGTTCATTCTTATCCTGAAAAATACTGAAAGAAATTTAACAATGACTAAATTATATTATAATCGTAGGTTCTAATTCTAAATCCAAAATGTTTGAATAGTGAAAATATAATTGAATACCAACCTATAAATTAATTATACTATCTCTCACATTTTTCACTAGGACAGTTTGTGGTATAAACTGTGTAGAATCTTAATTTTACACCGACTCCTATGAGCTTCCCTGATTTTTTCTGACTTTCCAGAATGTGGACACCCTGGTCATCTACAATACCAATTTAATAACGTTAATAACACGATAAATTCTGTGCCCTAGTAATCGTGTAAAAATATCAGATTACATCGATCATGTTCATATTCAAAGTAGTTTATCTAATCTAATATATAAAATTCTCGTGTCGCGGTGTTTGTGGTTAAACTCCTCCGAAACGGCTTTCCCGATTCTCATGAAATTTTGTGTGCATATTGGGTAGGTCTGAGAATCGGATAACATCTATTTTTCATCCCTCTAAATGTTAAGGGTAATCCACCCCTAATTTTTTTTTTCAATTTTAGATACTTTTTTTTTTATGATACATCATACAAAAATACATACAACCCTAAATTTTCACCCTTCTACCACCAACCCCTATTTTTTTATGGCGATACGAAGTATGCTGGACAGCTAGTATTTTTATAAATTTAGAAAGCTTTAATTTGTGACATTTCTAGTAAATAATATTTTGACTTGAATAATAAAAAGGAATGGTTGATTTCAGTACATAACGAACACGGGGTCGGTGTGCATATTCCGCACCAACAAGGACGCGCCCAACTACCGCCTCATACAGATCGACCTCCACCACCCCGAGCCGGACAACTGGAAGACGCTAGTGCCGGTAACACTATTATACTAACAACTAGTCTAAACAAAATATAACTAGAAAAAAATCCACGCGGACCAGGCAGCAGCAGACGGGACTCGAACCCGCACCCTTTGCTATCCGGGCGAATGCACTGACCAACACTTTTTTTTTCTAGTTATATTTTCTTTAGATTTAAACATCAAGCAGTTACATGCTTTAAAATAATTATAACTAACAACTTGTATCATGTACATAAGTTTAAAGATAGCAGTCCTATAATTTTTATTATTTTTAAAGCATGTAACTGCTTGATGTTTAAATCTAAAGAAAATATAACTAGAAAAACTATAAAATATTTCGACTGAAAATATTTAATAACTAGAAAATATTTCGACGCGGTCTGTGAGGGCCGCGGTAGCATAATTGGTCAGTGCATTCGCCCGGATTGCGAAGGGTGCGGGTTCGAGTCCCGTCTGCTGCCTGGTCCGCGTGGAATTTTTTCTAGTTATATTTTCTTTAGATTTAAATAGCAGTCCTATTTCATAGATCTCATACAAGAAAGCGCAGTTATAAATATCCTTTCGCAATACATGCATATAATTTCATTAATTTAAATTCAGGAACTTATACCTTACTGCCTTTCTATTAAAAAACCGGCCAAGTGCGAGTCGGACTCGCGCACGGAGGGTTCCGTACAAACCTGAATTTACAAAAATACTTTTTATTATATGATGTGACTAAATATTTACGGTTTTCGCAATTTTTCCTTTATCTTTACTATAAGACGTTACTTCGTACCTAATTTCAAGATTCTAAGTTCACGGGAAGTGCCTGTAGGTTTTGATTCCCGTGCAAGTTTCGAAAATTTGCGGCATAAACGACTGTATCTTTTGATTTGACTTAGAAGTTTGATTTTTTCACAGCTCCAAGGGTTAGTAGACCTGAGTATAAGATATGAATTTCAGTTTGATACCTCCATGCGTGTCTGAGAAAAACGGTCTTGACGGACGAACGGACGGACAACAAAGTGATCCTTTATGGGTTCATTTTTTTTCTTTTGTGGTACGGAACCCTAAAAACAAAGAAATCTTTAAACTAGTCACGCAGTTGTTGATGAATAGTGATAAACACTGCTTATGAACTTCTTTGTTCATTATAAACTGGTACAAAGTATTATAGTCGAACAACGTTAATGTATGAAAATGTATTGTATATATTGTTTATTTGAATCGTATTGCAGGAGAACCCTCGGGACGTGCTGGACTGGGCCGTGGCAGCGGGCGGACAATACCTCGTGCTGCACTACCTGCGGGATGTCAAGGTGTGTCTCATATTAGCCTACTAATGCCCCACTGCTGGGGCACAGGCCTTTCCTGTACATGTATTAAAGAGTGCGATCGATGCGTGCTAACGAGTGCAGATGCAACCGCGACCGATGGCTTAAAGTGTATTCCGAAGCACGGAGGAGCTCCAGATAGTAAATTTTTGCTCACCCATCCAATGAACCACCATTGCGAAAGATGCTTAACTTTCAACAATCATAGCTGGACGCGCAATACGTATATATATACCTTTTTTAATGTTTTTGTCTGGGAGAAGAAGGTATGTGGGACTCCTCCCCGCTTATTTCAGTCAGCTCTTGGGTCGGGTGATATAAGCAGAACCTTCCCTAACGCCCTAAACAGGGCCACCAACATCCACATAGAGTCTGTGCGGAAAGAGAATGGGCGTGACGAAAAACGGAACTAACATTAAGATTTTTATTTGGCAATCAAACCCAGCAATCTGAAAGTTTTGTGTTGATACGGATTTATTTGTTGTTGTGATTTCTCGCGGTTTTTTTGTATTTAATCATGTCTAAAAGGGGTAAAACCTTACAAATACGGTAGAAAAGCACTACAGCGCCCTCCAATATAAAACCCATCATCTTTCCGCACAGACTCGATCATGCTTCAGTTGTCAATTTATAAAAATCTCAATGAGAAATTCAATTTAAGATAGTCATTTGATTAAATTTTTTTGGGGTGTCTATAAAATTTTATTGTAACTTGACTATATCAGTCAACTGTCAACTGTTAATAATAAAAATGTTTAAAAGTAAACGACGGGAAATCATACTCTTCGCAAGGTGGTTAATATTCAAAAATGTTTATCTATTCAAAAATATTTTTACTTGATATTTCAGCATTATATATTACAATGCCAATATTCAAACTTCATTTTGTGGAAATATATCCTCTGGCTGTATATTTCTGGCTTTGAATTGTATCGAGAAATGAAACTCATTTCTTTCTGCCGCACTACTAATGCGACTGCGACGCAACGGCGATTTAGTTAAAACAAACTCATATAATTACATGTCGCCGGCCGCACTGGCAGACATTTTTGCTTCTACTTGCTTGCGCAATGCGGGCCCGTCAGCTCCTGCCAGCCTTGCACAAATCGTCACTCCATCGCGCCTGAGGACGTCCTACACTACGTTTAGACGCGGTCTCCACTTCAGAATTCGTCTACCCCAACGGTTATCGGTTTTGCGGCAAATATGGCCAGCTCCCTGCCATTTCAACTTGCTAATCCGGTGGGCTATGTCGATAACTCTGGTTCTCTGTCGCATCACCTCATTTCTGATGCGATCCTTCGGAGAAACGCCGAGCATAACCCTTTCCATAGCCATCCGTCTATGAAGTACAATATTATTCATATGACATTTTAACGTAAACAATACAAAATTTCAAGGACGTCGATCTGTCAAAAAGAAAATAAATGAATGGACAGACTATAAAACAAGTTTCAAAGGTATAGATGCACCGATATTTTTATTTATTGACGTTTCGCATCCTTTTCCGGTTTTGTTTTTTTTAACTGAAGTTAGATCGTCGAAAAGATCGCGAGTTGTAAAAGGAAATCGTTTCATCGCTTCAATTAAGTTTTAACGCATTCAATATTATAAACGAAACGTGTCGTACATTACAGAGTGTTCTACAACTGCACTCGCTGAGCGACGGCTCCCTGTTGCGCGAGTTCCCCCTGCCCGTGGGGTCAGTGGTGGGGTTCTCGGGCAAGCGGACCCACAACGACATGTTCTACCACCACATGTCCTTCCTGTCGCCCGGCACCATCTACCGCGTCGACCTCACCGACCTCGACGCGTCTGGTGCCACGCCTACTGTGAGTACTCGGGCAAGCGGACCCACAACGACATGTTCTACCACCACATGTCCTTCCTGTCGCCCGGCACCATCTACCGCGTCGACCTCACCGACCTCGACGCGTCTGGTGCCACGCCTACTGTGAGTACTCGGGCAAGCGGACCCACAACGACATGTTCTACCACCACATGTCCTTCCTGTCGCCCGGCACCATCTACCGCGTCGACCTCACCGACCTCGACGCGTCTGGTGCCACGCCTACTGTGAGTACTCGGGCAAGCGGACCCACAACGACATGTTCTACCACCACATGTCCTTCCTGTCGCCCGGCACCATCTACCGCGTCGACCTCACCGACCTCGACGCGTCTGGTGCCACGCCTACTGTGAGTACTCGGGCAAGCGGACCCACAACGACATGTTCTACCACCACATGTCCTTCCTGTCGCCCGGCACCATCTACCGCGTCGACCTCACCGACCTCGACGCGTCTGGTGCCACGCCTACTGTGAGTACTCGGGCAAGCGGACCCACAACGACATGTTCTACCACCACATGTCCTTCCTGTCGCCCGGCACCATCTACCGCGTCGACCTCACCGACCTCGACGCGTCTGGTGCCACGCCTACTGTGAGTACTCGGGCAAGCGGACCCACAACGACATGTTCTACCACCACATGTCCTTCCTGTCGCCCGGCACCATCTACCGCGTCGACCTCACCGACCTCGACGCGTCTGGTGCCACGCCTACTGTGAGTACTCGGGCAAGCGGACCCACAACGACATGTTCTACCACCACATGTCCTTCCTGTCGCCCGGCACCATCTACCGCGTCGACCTCACCGACCTCGACGCGTCTGGTGCCACGCCTACTGTGAGTACTCGGGCAAGCGGACCCACAACGACATGTTCTACCACCACATGTCCTTCCTGTCGCCCGGCACCATCTACCGCGTCGACCTCACCGACCTCGACGCGTCTGGTGCCACGCCTACTGTGAGTCATCAGTATCATCAGCCTATTAATGTCCCCACTGCTGGGGCACAGGCCTTTTTTTTTGTTGGGAAAATGCGTGACGCATACCCCGCCCCTAGGTGAGAATCGAGCCCACCCGCTCAGCCAAACTGACTCAGCGGCTATGAGGGAGGCCCTACCCACTAAAAACCGAACAGTTCTTCCTCGCCTGCCAGAACGGTTTTCGTGGGATCCTGGTGACTCTCCACGTTGCTAGAGCGCAGGCCTTCCCTATGGATGGAATAGGCAGATTGGGCCATGACCCACCACTCAAGCCCGTGCGGATTGGCGGCTGCTAACGACTGCAGGTGCAACCGGGACCAACGGCTTAACGTGTCTTCCGAAGCACGGAGGAACTCGAGATAGAACAATTTTGGTCACCCATCCAATGACTGACCACTGCGAAAGTTGCTTAACTTCAACGATCGCAGCCGAAAGCGCTAACCACCCGCGCCATAGAGCTCCTCTCAATAAATAAAAAAAAACAACTAATTATATGGATCGTTACTCTCTAATAAAGGCCGCTGAAACGTGATTCCAAACTCATGCATAAATATTTTGACAAATCAAATATCCGCAAATTAATTCGTCTATTCATTCGTTAAGTAAGATAATGTTTAACGAAAATCTCAACCAAGCCCATGATCAGCGTACTGATCGCAGTTTTTTCGTCCCGCCCACTTGATTAAATAATATTCATTGGATTTATTGTAAAATCATTTGATATTAATTGCATTCTATTTTAGCGAATTATGTTTGAGCATCATATTTATTGTACCGTGTTTCTTGTAAATAAATATATGATCATATTCATGAATGAATCGCAGTTTGCGTGGAGCTACTTTTTAGTGCCGTTCGTATTTCATATTATTATTTCTAATTCGACGTACATAATATATGATTGCAACACATTTACACCCGTGAAACTAACATTAAATATCTAATATTTTGAATTGATACTATTTCAATATGTATAGCTTTTCAGAGGAATTAATAGCAATGACACAAAGTAACTTTTATTGAGAGAATGGGGTTTGTTTTCACAACACATGTTTTCTATCATATAAATTGTTATCTTATCCTTTATAAAATAACTAAATTGCATTTAGTTATTAAATCCTTATAATAACAATAAGTAAATTAACAAACATTTAAATACTATAATTATGAGTAAATTATTCTTAAAATACTATAAAAACATTTGTTAACGCCATCTATCCTTCGACGAGAGAAGCTGCAATCGGTCCATCATCATCGTCCATTTATACATTCATCCCTCACTCATTTTGATTTTTCGTCATCTCATTTTTTTCATTTTGATTCATTCACTCTCCCTCTTGCTATTCAAATTCAAAAAAGACAACGTACACATAATTTCAATAAGCTCTGTATTTTACTATGAATAATATTCTACAATCTGAATATCCGATTTTTATTGAGAAATCCACATATAGAAGACACTAAGCTATCGAACAACATTTATTATGAGTAACGATCAGGCTGAAGTTTTACTGTAAAATTTCAGGTGTTCAGAGAAGTAAAAGTGAAAGGATTCGACGCATCGCAATATGAGGCTAAACAGATATTTTACTCTAGCAAAGACGGCACCAAAATACCCATGTTTATAGTCTCTAAGAAGGTAAGAACGAGGTAGAAATATCAACCATTTTTTTATATTATATAATTTAAAAGCCAACTGAACATTCGGTTTGCTAAATGGTAAACTGTTGAAATTAATGACTTGTGTTGGGGTTAAAATGTGAATAAAATTGATTAATTTTTAAGGTAAATTAAGAAGAAAATCATGAAAACATTACAACATAATCATCAATATTCCGGCATTTTTTATATTTACAAACTCTAATTGAAGTTTTTCAATATTCTGAAATATAATGTCATAGAAGTATATTGCATTGATTTTTAAATGGCTTGTTTACTTTTTTAGGCTTTTCATTAACCTCAATGTTTAATTCAAAATAAAATTTCAGAAATTTGTAAGTTTTATTTAAGAACAGGGTAGGCTATAACTACACCCAATACACATTGTCATTTCGGGCTAACGACCAAATCTAATTGCGGCATTAGTCGTTTACTCGAATTTCATTGGCACTAGTATTCAGGCTAACGACCAAGTGTAATGGCGCCCTAACAGTGCTTCTGGGGCTAGGCTTATTGCTGGGTATTAAGAAATATTAATAATCGATCGATCGATATCCCCAGGATCTAGTGCTGGACGGCAGCGCGCCGGCCCTGCTGTATGGCTACGGGGGCTTCAACATCAACATCCAGCCCAGCTTCAGCGTCACGCGGCTCGTGCTGATGCAGCATCTGGGAGGGCTCGTCGCCATCCCCAACATCCGCGGCGGAGGGTAAATGTCCCCAGGATCTAGTGCTGGTCGGCAGCTTCAACATCAACATCCAGCCCAGCTTCAGCGTCACGCGGCTCGTGCTGATGCAGCATCTGGGAGGGCTCGTCGCCATCCCCAACATCCGCGGCGGAGGGTAAATGTCCCCAGGATCTAGTGCTGGTCGGCAGCTTCAACATCAACATCCAGCCCAGCTTCAGCGTCACGCGGCTCGTGCTGATGCAGCATCTGGGAGGGCTCGTCGCCATCCCCAACATCCGCGGCGGAGGGTAAATGTCCCCAGGATCTAGTGCTGGTCGGCAGCTTCAACATCAACATCCAGCCCAGCTTCAGCGTCACGCGGCTCGTGCTGATGCAGCATCTGGGAGGGCTCGTCGCCATCCCCAACATCCGCGGCGGAGGGTAAATGTCCCCAGGATCTAGTGCTGGTCGGCAGCTTCAACATCAACATCCAGCCCAGCTTCAGCGTCACGCGGCTCGTGCTGATGCAGCATCTGGGAGGGCTCGTCGCCATCCCCAACATCCGCGGCGGAGGGTAAATGTCCCCAGGATCTAGTGCTGATAGTGACAAAAATTCCATCATTTTTCAAGATTGAGAAATGTCATCCCCATTGTCTTACTAAATATTCGCGTCGTTATCAGTAACAATTAGTCAGATTGCTCCTACATAATTAGCATTATTTAAAAAGTTACTACCTGATCATAAATGGCACTCGGACATACCGAAAATTCGCAAAGAACAGGGTAGCAGTCCAGATAATTACTTCTATATTATTGCCCACAAGATTTTTTTAAAAAAACAGTACCCTTAGCACGAACCATTAACGAATTCAAAAAGTTTGCGAGTCCGAAATGTAATTGTCAAATTTTGTATGGAAACTTGAACAGCAGCGCCACAAACGACGTAACATGAACTAAAAACCAGTGGTTTTAGTTCATGTTACATGTTACGAAATGTCGTTGTCATATATGTATGTTGATGTCTTCTTTCAATTGACTGTATGAAACAAAACAGGAAAAAAAATAGCCCTTGCTGAGTTTCTTGCCGGTTCTTCTCGGTACAAGGTCTCCCGCCGTAGATTTACGAACCGATGGCGTAGCGTTTGACTTTCACAAGAGCTTGTAACAGCCTAGACTGAATAAATGAGTTTAGAGTTTTATATGTCAGATTGTCAAATATTTACTGACATATTTGACAATGACCTTTCGGAGTCTGAAATTATTCGAATTCGATATTGGTTCGTGCTAAGGGAACCTTATTGACTACATCATCATCATCATCATTGGTATTGAAAGGAAAACGAACTTTGGCTTGCCAATAACCTGATGTTTACAGGTTGGCAAGGTATTAAAATATGATAAAATGATGTATCAATGATTAAATAAGATAAAAATGTGTGCGTGTACTAGTGAACACACGTAAGAAAAGAAACTTCTTTATGGCCTTATTTTTTTCGAAAAATGATCTACATGCAACTTTCCAGAAATATATATATATAGGCGTGCGCTAAGATTTTTCAAAAACTCACCCACTAAAGGGGTATAACTACACCTTACCTTACCTCACCTCACCTTACCTTACCTTACCTTACCTTACCTTACCTTACCTTACCTTACCTTACCTTACCTTACCTTACCTTACCTTACCTTGTGTGAAACACGAATATTTGCTGTCGATACTTTTTTTTTTTTAAAATACGTTATGTGCGATGGAACGTAAAACTGCACTATTTATCAATAGTGTCTTTGGTATGGCTACTGCAATCTTTAACAAAATACCTAATAATATAAAGAGTTTGCCAATGAGTATTTTTAAGAAACGCTTAATGAAACTGTTAATTGACAAAGTATATTATACTACACAAGAGTTTCTTAGTGACACTTCCTTGAAAGAAATGGGCATCATTACCTAATTAACTCATATGTTTAGCCTGTTATAGCACAATTTATTATTATTATTATATATTTTTAGTTTGACACAAAAATATTGCTTAGTAATTTTTTCATAAACATATTTTGACATTTATTTCTAACTATGACTTGTTTGATTGTAATTGTAATATAATAATTTTGATTTTTATATAATAGGGATGATGACAAATTTTTTTTTTTCGTTTATCTGGTAGATTATCAAAAAGTATTGGACACGTATTTTTTCTTTTTTCACATATTATAAACATTGCAGAGATATATTGATTTGAAAAGTCGCATGACGTCACGTTTGAGTACACTTATAAGTGAAAATTCACTCAAAAGTGACGTCACGAGCCCCTACTCCCAAACTTTGACGCGCTATAACTTTGTCATTTTTTGGTTGATTGTCCAAAGAAAAAATACGTGTAAATTATTTTTTGATCATCTAACTGACGGACTAAATAGAATTACGTTTACTTTACCCCGTCATCATGCCTATTGTAAACCTGATTATTACTAAAAAAAATGGATGCGTGTAACTTATGTACGCGCGTGAGAAGTTATACTTCTTTAGCATCATTAAAATATTTTTTAATTGCATGCAAATAATTAATAATTACAATAAAATAATAAGAGGACTGGAAAAGGATAGTTAACACAGTCAATTAAGTTCAGTTTTAATTTGAAAAATTAAATAAATATTCAAAATATTCAATTAAAATCACTACTGAATTTAAGTTATTAGTCCATATGTAATTAGCACTTGTAAGTAACTAAAACACGTTGTGTTCTTGACCTTCACAAGTGCTTGTAACAGCCTAGACTGAATAAAAGTCATTTCATTTCAATGTCCCGTTCAAATCTGCCCTGTTTGCTTTGTTTAAATCTGCCCACGGTCACTTGGAAAATAAAATATTACAAAAAACGCGCCCGCGGCTAACTTCATTATGTTAAAATTTTGTGTTACAGTGATGAAAAATTCACTCTCATAATTTTTTCATAACGCGGCTAAAGAAGTATAACTTCAAAAATATTGTATACCTTGTAATAAGGTCGAAACGTAGTGACACTAAACTTTTTACCTAACACCAAATCGCCGTACTAACCTACATTTCACAATAAATCATTTGTATTCGAATTTGAAAACAATAATGATTATGTAATGTCAGGGAATACGGCGAGCGGTGGCACAACGCGGGTCGCCTGCTCAACAAGCAGAACGTATTCGACGACTTCCATGCCGCGGCGCAGTACCTGATAGAGCACAAGTACACCAGCCCCTCGCTCCTCAGCATGCAGGGCGGCTCCAACGGGGGCCTGCTGGTGGCCGCCTGCGCCAACCAGCGCCCCGACCTCTACGGGGCCGCCGTCGTGCAGGTCGGGTGAGTCCCCGTATAAAATAATAATAATCTATACTTATGATAAATCTGTAGAGAGGTCGATTGTGTACATGAAATATATTTTCAAAATAACTATCAGGGGGTGATTAGTGATCGATACTGATGCCAAAAATGCAATCAGTAAAATTTTTGTCTGTCTGTCTGTCTGTATGTATGTTCCTTGTAGAAACAAAAACTACTCGACGGATTTTAACGAAACGTGGTACGATTATTCTTGATACTCCTGGGCAGGTTATAGTATACTTTTCATCACGCTACAATCGATAGGAGCGGAATAGTGAAGGGAAATGTTGGGAAAACGGGAGAAGTTACTCCATTTTTTAAGCTTCCATCGCGTGTGCAGCTTTAATGGTTAAAGTTACATAGAAATCATGTATGACGGGAATATTCTACATAAATTGCCTAAAAAATATCCCGCAACAGCATATGTCTATCTTTTATGGTTGACTCACAATAACACGTGTAATTATATAAATAAAGTCCTTGTTTATAACACAAGGCTGAGAACAAAAACTATAGTTTACACTACAGCTCTACACCTTAGCGAAGCGAGGGCGGGCCACTAGTAATAAATATTTCCAACACTCACACCAATTAGCCTAGCCCCAAAGTAAGCACTGTAAGGCTTGTGTTATGGGATACTAGGGTAACGGATAGAATACATAGACTGTACATATATAAGTATATTTATATAGAAATACATATTTAACATCCATGACTGGAGTACAAATGCTCGTATTCATCACACAAACATCTGCCCCCACCGGGATTCGAACCCAAGACCTCTCGAGTCGGCGACACCATGAAACCCGGCGACAAACCACTCCGCCACGGAGGTCGTATCATTCTTTTGTACACTTGCTATTTTCCCCAAAACGGCATGTACTTTTTTCCTCATTAAATAACGAATTATGCACTTTTTCACTGCGAGAAATGACATTGTCGGCAGCGGCCGCCATATACATATACAGGGTGTTACAAAATTACAAATAAAGCTTGAAGGGCGTTGAAGTACATCATATAAGGAGTCTTCTCTAATTTTCTTAAAAATGTTGCATGAAGTTTTAACTATTTATAAAAACAGTTATTTTTAATGATTAATAAAAATATCGATCATTTTAAGACACGTCACTAGTTCGAGGATCATTAAAAATAACTGTTTTTAAAAAGGTTAAAACTTCATGCAAATATTTTAAGAAAATTATAGAAGACTCCTTATATGATCTACTTCAACGCCTTTCAAGCTTTATTTGTATTTTTGTAACACTCTGTATAAACAAAGCGCTTGCAGCGCCTCTACCCGTAATTAATGTAACTAATTTACAACATGATCAAATAATTTTTGCCATTTCATGAAGTAGCCACGCGTTCAGTTGGCCATATCGTGAAACGATTTCTCATCATTGATCTGCCCGAACCACATCATGATGTGGCCAATAGATAGTGAAACGTTTCATGAAATTCTCGAGCATTTCATGAAGTGAGCAAATCTACGATATGGCCACGACATATACATTACCATAACTAAACATACTGTAATGTAATGTGGCTGACATGACAGCCGGTTGGGTCTTATTAAAAAATGAGTTCGAAATATATCTGTGCCTCTCGAGACGATTTTTGAATAATACATCAGGAATGTTTTTACTGGAATATAAATATTCAGTACTTTTTCATGTCTGTATAAGTTATCCATCGCTATTTTTCTTCTAATGAATTTTCTGAATCGACTGTCTTTTTTTACTTGAATTGCAATCTCAATCAATTTTATTCAATATAAAAAGACCATTACTGATTGTTTACCAAACATTTAAAAATTGTGTTTTGTACATTTTTTTTTGCTTTAGTTATACCATCAATTTGCAAGTAGAATAGATATTGCAAACTTATAATGTTTTATAAAAATATAATCTCTGTGTTGTGATATATTTTAGTGGATAACGGTGTTGGTCGTGTAATGACATCAATGTATTTATTAGTGTTACCACATTACGTAAAATATTGCACAGTTGTTTGTTATCCTAAATAAATAAAAATAGAAAAAATAAAAAATCTCTCTTCTTTAATTATATTTATTGAAACAAAGTTGTTCCATGTCCTAAAGTCATGATAAGTATGTAATAATGGTTGTCCTGCAGCGTGTTGGACATGCTCCGGTTCCAGCGGTTCACGATCGGCCACGCGTGGGTGTCGGACTACGGCAGCTCCGACGACCCCAAGCACTTCCACAATCTGTTGGCATATTCGCCGCTCCACAATATAAGGATACCTGGACCTGGTATGACCGTATGATGCACGCGTTTCGTTTGCGTAGCTTCATTATTAAGTTATGTAAAAAAATTAACCTGCTTTTGGACTTGAAAGTATATATTCATCAAATTCAATAATAGTATTCCGACAGCAAAATTGCAGTTTGCACGACTGCAATGAAACTGCCAACCATCCGTGCAGTCCGATTGCATGTCAATATGCTGGTGTATACCTTAACAGTCGATCGAGTATAGAATTATGCTTAAAAAAACGCTTCTTGGTTATTCTAAAGTTGAATATTAAATAATAAATAAATAAATATTTGCAACACACACACCAATCAGCCTAGCCCCAAAGTAAGCACTATAAGGCTTGTGTCATGGGATACGAAGGTTACGGATAGAATATATATTGAACTCTTATTTAGGATATATGAGTCAAAACCCAATACGAGTATTCATTTCTGTGTAAGCACAAATATTTGTTATAACTACAAACGTTAGTATAGTGACCTGCCTGAATTTGGAAATTAATAGAGTTGTGTTATCAATGGTGTAGATTCCAGCATGATCCTCTAGATTTAACATCGGTCTCTCTTTTTCATTCTGTATAGGTGATGACAAGGACACTCTGTCGTTAAATTTAATTTTAGGTTCAGAGAATCATGCCAGAATTGACACTAAATACATTGTTCAATTATGACATGTGATACAGATGGGATGGCATGGGATGATGATAAGCTCGATGGCGTAGGTGGTTAGCTCGTTCGACAGCGATCGTTGAAGTTAAGCACTTTAACGATCGCAGCCGAACGCGCTAGCCGTTCACAGTGGTCGGTCATTGGATGGGTGACCAACAATGTACTATCTCGAGCTCCTCCGTGCTTCGGAAGGCACTTTAAGCCGTAGGTCCCGGCTGCATCCGTAGTCGTTAGCACCAATTCGCACTGGGCTCGCGTTATGGGTCATGGCCCAATCTCCCTATTCCATCCATAGGGAAGGCCTGTGCCCTTGCAGTGGGGACATGAATAGGCTGATGATGATGATGATGATGATGGAACAGATGGGGCCGAGTACCCGGCGACGCTGGTGCTGACGGCGGACCACGATGACCGCGTGGTGCCGCTGCACTCGCTCAAGTATATCGCCGAGCTCCAGCACGCCGCCACCGAGGCCAACGCTGGTGCCAACACTGGCGCCAACACTGGCGCCAACACTGGCGCCAACGCCACCGGCCAACACCCGGTGCAGCGCCGCCCGCTGCTGGCGCGCGTCGACACCAAGGCGGGACACGGGGGCGGGAAACCCACCGCCAAGATAGTGAGTACCGTTCAACTAACAATAGGACCCACTGGGCGCCATGTTGTGACCTAATAGCTGTCGATTCAAACCACTCAAGTAGAATGAGCAAAAAAGCTTTTCTTTAATAAAACTGATTTACAAAGATTAAGTGAGAAAAAATGACAGATTTTTAATAATATTTATTTGTTAGGACCAAGGACCGATATGGGTACCCGTATAGGTGTTTTAATCGGTTTAATTTTAACGATTAGGTTAAAAACCCGACATAAAGGGTTAACCTGTATAATTGATTAATAACCTCTATATAAACCGGTTCTTACGTAGAGTCCTTTTTTGTTCAAAATTCATACATAGAAAGAGACAAACGGCTAGCTAGCTGTGATTGGCCCTTCAGTGAAGTGACGAGTATAACTTGACATGACCTCGTCGTCATTACACCAAGCTAAATTGATTCTTTGGTGCTTTCTCTTAAAGTTTATTTGCGAGTAATTTGTATTGATTGTATTGTAATTGTAGCACGTGCCGCTTGCTGCCCGGTATTACCTATTGTTTATTTACTTCGATCACTTTCTTTATAAGCTGAGCTGAATCATCGAAAGTTTTTCGAACTTCTAATCTAAAATCTAGTTCATTTACATTTTTAATAATAAACTAACTAAGTGCTTCTGTGTGATTGAACTGTGATAATGCCAAAAGTGAAAAAAGATGCAGTTCATAGGCACTTTACGTATGAAGAAGAGACGAATTACAGTCAGTGCATACATTGCCAAGGTAAAATAAAGGTAGGTACCTATGTTATATTATATTATTTTTTTGCTTTGATTATGTGAGGTATGGTATGAACATTGTGTAGGTATTTATAAAATAAATAGGTAGGTACGTACACAGGTACAGCAATCTATTAGGTACTTAGTACATTAAACAAAAGTTGAGTAAAAAAAGTTTTAAACGCTTTTATAATAGTAGTATTTATTTATATGTTTTTATATTATTACTAGCTTTTGCCCGCGGCTTCGCTCGCGTTAGATTTGATTTTGAGTAAATGAACTCCATACTATTATGTATGTATAACTGAGCGCTGCGCGTTCTCCGCACTCTATCTCAAAAGCAATTAATCGTAAAACAAAATGCTTGTCACTGACACTGACACACAAATTGTAGAGAATTTAGTGCTGTACAATTTTTATAATAGGTGCAAATACGATCGAACGCATAGAAAGAGAGATATTTGCGAAAAACGGATTTGTGACCTTTGACCTTGAATATCTGAAGAAGCCGTCATGAGATTATAAATGAGACTTTTGACACATCATTAAGAATGCCAAAACAAAGGTCCTTACAAATTTTCAGCTTATTACCTCTCATTCCGAGGTTGACTCGTTTTTTGCTTCGTATAGCTGTAATAGTAGGGTAAAAGCCGGATAGATACCCCACTTTTTAATAAAGCTCTATTGTTCAAAAATATGTACTTACTAGAAGTGATGTATCGTGTATATCAATACAACGGTCCTTGATCTTTCATAGTAGCCTATTTTTGTAACTTCATTAATATGGTTTTGAGTAAATCCGGTTTTATTAGACCTCTCAAAAAAGGGATAGTGGTGTCGATTCTGGCAGGATTCTCTAAAGCTAAACTTAAATTTGACAACAGTGTATCCCTGTCATTCTCTATACAGAATGAAAAGGACGGACTGATGTTAAATTTAGATTAAAGTTTAAAGAATCCTTCCAGAAGTAGCCTACTAAAGCGGATAGCAGCCAGCGTAACGTAAAAAAATATTCGAGGGATACTTGCCTCTCGTGGGGATAGACCACTTACTATGTTTTAGGGTTCCGTACCTAAAAAAGAAAAAACGGAACCCTTATAGGATCTCTTTGTTCTCCGTCTGTCTGTCTGTCAAGACGGCGAGTATCCGACTTTTATCCTACCTACCTAGTTATTTTACTTTGTATTATAATTACTTAGTAAATAATTCAGTATGCTTTGATTTAATTTTTATAATCAAACTCAGTATGACTTCTTTTAGTCCAAGAACTTGATTAATTTATTGATAGTTATTAATGCTTATAGTACTCACATTTATAACATTTTTACGACTTTACGGTTTTTTACAGCCATATAGTCTAGTGGTTGGCGCTCCGGATTATAAAACTTGTGGTTGCGGGTTCGAACCCCGCAAGGGGAAAATGAGCCATGGATGCTATATTAAAATAAATTTAAGTATGTCTAGACACCTGCAAGCTCTAGAGCTATATCATTGATGTGATTGCAGAAACAGATTTTTATTTTTTAATATTTATCAAGCCCCTCGCACGATGTCAATACGCGGTGTAAACCAAACTGTTCTTAACACCTAATAAGATGCAACTTTAGATGATTTGAGGCTGGATTCATATATAATTAATATAAGTGCATCTAATACAAGGTGTCACTAATGATAGACTGATTTTATCCTTTGAAAATCACTAATATTACATTCATAGCTTTTATGTTTAAAAAAAAAGTTAAACATTCTATCTTCAATATTTAATGCACTTATGTGGGTCATTTTTTAATAATTTATATATATTTTGTTTCAGGAGCAACATGCGACCAACTTAAAAAATCACATGTCTGTCAAACATAAAAATAAATTTGATGATATTTTAATAATTAATAATACACAACGTGAACAAAACGTCTCGCAAAAAAGAAACGACGACTTAATATCTGAAGTTAAAACAAATTGCGTAAAACTTGTCACTATTCATGGTAGACCCTTTCAATTATTAGAGGATGCAGCGTTTCAAAAAATTATTAATATGGTCGTACCGACTAATAAATTTATAAATATCCAATCAATAAAATCGATGATTGCAGACAAAAGTTATGAAAATAAATTAAAGATTGCTACGGAATTAAGACGAAAATTATTATGTGTAAAATTAGATTCTGCGACCTATCAAGACAGATCATTTCTTGGCATTAATGTACAATACATACAAAATGAAATTGTTAAAATACGTACTTTAGCTGCACAGGAAGTATTTGAGCGCCAGACAGGGGAATTTCTGAAGAAGACTCTTTTAGATGTTTTAAATGATTATCAAATTGACGCATCACAAATTTATTGTATAACTACCGACAATGGAAAGAATTTTAAAAAAATGGCAAAGCTGTTAGGTGGTTCATACGAGCCCATTGATATTGACCAAGAATCTGGACAATATAATACAGACAGTGAAACAGACGAGGAAGACGAAGATAATGCAAATGATATAAATCATGAGATTCCAATCGACAGCCTAATGACAGCTTTAAATGAAAATGAAAACTACTCCAGATCCAATTTTTTACCGAGAACAATGCTGTGCGCTGCACATACGCTTCAGTTAGCTATTAAAGATTTTTTTGAATCGAATCCAGATTTTGACAATTTAATATTTCGTGTGCGACAAGTAGTCAAATTGTTAAGAACACCGACTATTAGAAATATTTTGAAAAGAGCCAACTTGAAGAAGCCTATTATTGATTGTCCTACACGATGGTCTTCTACTTACAACATGTTATTAAGGATGCAGTCATTAAAAACTGTATGTCTTAATGATGCAAATATCATGTCAAGATTAGATGAATCGAATTGGCAAACAATTACAGATCTAATTGATTGTCTAAAACCTTGTTTTATAGCAACATTAAAACTGCAAAAAGAACAATTGACACTGGGTGATTTTTTCATAGAGTGGTTGACATGCAAAGGTAATTTAGAAAAGCGCAGAACACCGATAAGCCAGAGTTTGTTAGACTGTATGAAGACACGGGAAGTAAATCTTCTAAATACTAACGTTATGTTGGAAGCCCTTTATTTAGACACAAGGCTTAATGTTATCCTATCGGATCAAGAAGCTGCTAAAGCTCGACAGCTTTTAAAAGAAACTTTGAATCAAATTAATAAACTTAAATTGAAAGACAGTGACTCGAACTCGGATAATATTATGGTCTCATCATTCAATTCAATTGATGAACCTATGGCTGGCGGTAGTGGTATACAAAATCAAAACTCTGCGGTCGAAGAAGCCAACATATTATCTTACGCTGAAGAAATACTAAGAAGTACTGAACAACAAAGAGGCATAGTACAAGAAACCAATTCAACCAATGTTTTGTTGAGAGAAATTCGCAATCTCCCAAGATTGCCCATTAAAGAAAATATTATTAAATATTGGAACAGTAAATTATCGTCACCAGAAGTGGCAGAATTAGCTCTTTGTGTTCTTGCTACTCCTGCTACGCAAGTATCTGTTGAAAGGCTTTTCTCCTCGGTTTAATATATTTTATCACCGCTCAGATCTAACTTAAGTCAAACTACTTTAGCAAATATTATGGTCATACGAAGTAATCACGATCTATTTATGTAATTGAAAACTACGTTCGTATTTTGAAACATTAATTAATTTTATAAATGTTTCAAAATAGAAACACGGAGTTTCTATTTTGAAGTAACATGTAGGTAGTTGAAATTAAAGAAATTGTTGATAGTTAACACATTATATTAAATTCTGACCTGCATGTGCTATCATCACAGTTAACTGATTCTTACTTAATTTTTTACTAAATCTATCCAGCAATGTGTAAGAGTTATGTATTTAAGCACGTCAAAATGCTAGAGATTAAAAAATAGGAAGCATTAGTAATTGATAATTAATTTAAATTAAAAACAAATTATATCAAAATACGTCTCTGGAGAAGTACCTACACTCAAATATTGTGAAATATAATCGCTTTTGAAAGTAAATATTGATAATTAACAAAAAATATTCAATCATATAATTAATAATGTAACGACTTAATAGACATAATTGTTACTGAACTACAACAGGAATAAATGATTAAAATTATTAATTCTTGGTGTATTTTTTCATTACGCCAAGCACCTCTTGCATGCAGTCAAGTCTTTTGTTATTGGGCATTGAAGATAATTCTATTTCTATTATTTTAGCAAAGTGAATGCTAGTTTCACTTCTTGCATTATTCGTGCCTTTAATCGCTTTTTCACATTTTTCCGTAGATTCCATACCACAGATCCTTTTTAAAACGTTAAATATCGTAAAATTGTCCTCTATATTAAATAATAATTTTTTTTTAACACATACAACATTTAGCCTAGCCTAGTTGTGGGATACTCGGGTAACGTATAGAATACATATAATAATAAATAAATAAATATTTTTAACATTCACAACAATTAGCCTAGCCCCAAAGAAAGCACTGTACGGATTGTGTTATGGGATATTAATACTACGAATGATTAGCCGAATTACGAAGTTTCACTTCTACCGCGCGGAGGGACTCCCCGCACTATTTTTTTTGAGAGGTCAAATAAAACTCACTCGTTTTACTCAAAACCAATATTAATTAACTAACTTTACAAAAATAGGCTACTTTGAAAGATAAAGGACCTGTATACATGATTCATCACTACTAGTAAGTCATCACTACTTTATTGAAAAGTGGTACAACTATCCGGCTTTTCCCCTACACGATCGATTTTTCTTTGCGTCGACAAAATCATTTCATTAGGGGTCGTCCATATCACCTGATGCTTTTAGCAACTTTTAACCCCCTCCCCTCCCCCTAGTGATATCTGGTGAGGTTTGAGACTAACCTCCCCCCCCCCTCCGCCCCCCAACCCCAAAATTACGTGTATTTTTAATACATAATAGATTGTTTTTTTAATATTATTTCAAAATCGTTGCCTGGCAACGGCGAGTCAAGGCCAGACGCCGCTGTTTGGTTCAGAAAGTGGTTCAACGAAAAATAAATACACGTGATACCGCATTATACCCTCCTTGTGATATTTTATCACAATTATTATTAAATCTAATTACACAATTATTTAATAAAAATATGGTATCATTCATTAAGCAAATATTTTTTTTTCTAGTAAACCTTTCTTTAGATTTAAACATCTAGCAGTTAAAAGCTTAAAAAATAAATAAAATCATAAGCAAATATTAATTTATGCGCACGCGCTATCCCATCGAGGTGAAATTCTGAATTACAACGCCACGGAATGGCGGAGCTCGTAGATGGAAAGTACTCTACGCTAGTCTAGATTTACAGTCTCTTTCATACGGGTTAATCAGCAATATTCCTAGGATTAATCCATATTACAATAAACAGTTTACTGCATAAGGATTAATCAATATACAGGGTTTTGGTCTTACCGGTTAACCTTTTAATCCGATTAATGGGTCCTTGGTTAGGACCGAGTGAGAAAAAACATTAATCAGAATCTACCTCTCTAATGCCGCTCATCTCTGCCCTACCGTCGGAGTAGTCATATAAAATAAAATATCGATTTTTGAAGCTTTTAAAACGGCAACTTTATTTAAAAAAAAAATGGGTGCGTGTACTTACATATGTAGGCGCGTGAGAAGTTATCCTTCTTTGGCATCGTTTAAAATTAGTTTTTAATTGCATGCAAATAATTAATTACAATAAATTAATAAAAAGTCTGGAAAAGGACACAGTCAATAAAGTTCAGTTTTAATTTGAAAAAATAAATAAATAATCAAAATATTCAATTAAAATCGCTACTGAATATAATTTATTAGAACATATGTGATTTGCATTTGTATGAAACTCAAACACGTATTCCGAATATACAAACTAGAAACATGTGGATAAATATTATAAATATGAATACCTATAACTGTTACTTTATTACAAAAAATAAAGATGTGGTTTTTGGTTCTACTACACCAATGGTCAAGAGATGGCGCTGTAGTCTCCTGAATCGCGCTTTGGTTCCGTTGTTCCAGATTAATAAATACTTTTGATAGGCCTTCACAATGCAGTCGTTAGCACCCACTAAATAGAGATTCTATTTCTATTTTGTTGGTAGATTTTCTTAATGTGCGGTAAACACAAAAGTAACGCATAAAGTTGGTCGCTAAAGCGACCAACTTCATGCTGTTAAAATTTTGTGTTACAGTGATGCGCGCGCATCTTAAAATTTCACTCTCATCATTTTTTCATAACGCGCCTAAAGAAGTATAACTTCAAAAAAAACGGTCTTTTTATTACCTGTAGTAATAATAAAACTAAAGTTCTTATATTTCCCTTTTCCAGTACTTATTTTCTATACGTTTCATTTGATTTATTTCCTTCTTTTGTTTACAAATGTTTGGTATTTATTTTAAGATTAGCTCAGTACTAAAAAACGTGTACCAAAATTATTTTGCAAGTCGTACTTTTCAAGCGACATTTGTCAGATGGAGGTCATTGACTTTCCTATTCTTATTCGCATAGTATAACATTTGTCGCCTCCATCATAAACTTGCACGAGTACACTATAAATAAAATAGATCACGCCACATAACTTGCGACGAATACCGATAGCATCCATCTTATTTAAAATTCTCTTGTAAATTAAAGTATTAAATATAAACGAGAGAGCCTTACAGTAGTCGCGTATGATGTGTAACATTTGAAACCTCACCTTATATTAGTAAAAAAAGAAATAAACCCTACTACAAAAGGAATAAGCCATTTCAACATTGTTCTAAAATCAAATAGCGCGCGCTTTCGCGACTTCCTGTTACACACTTCCGTTCCATTTCCCGGAATCACTCCCACAAATTGCAGGAAAGCGAGAGGAAAGATGTAACACATCAAAAAATTCCTAAAAGTTAATAACTTTACCCTATAGCAGACCGTTTTTATATTTTTGTCTATTCACCGATACTGAGATCCTTCATCCTCCATCCTCGTCTGCATAATTATGATGGTGTCCTATGATGGTAAACTTGTATCTTGTTCGTTTTAGATCGAGGAGCACACGGACATCCTGTGCTTCATGACGCAAGCGCTGGGCCTGAAGTTCGACAAATATGTAGCCCCGAGCACGTAGTATTACGCCGCAAGACGCTATAGTATTATGTAAATAATTGTACCACGACCGCAGTCTGATGATTACCTCTGGGTCTTATACAAGACTGGTGATATTGTTTTACGCATTGCTGCTATTTTGTTTATTAATAAAAACTTGTTTTACATATTGTTTGGTTTCCTTGCGTCCACCTTCTATATCCAATAGGATATCCACAGAAACAATGTATCACTTTATGACGATTTTAAGATTAAAAAAAAACAAGATTTTCGATCTTCCGATGGTTTGGGAGAAAAGCAAGTTGAAGCTTTGAATTTTATCTCGAGCACTGCCAAAATCGTTTCCATTTAATTCAAACATTAAATAGGGTACAAATAATGGTGTTACATTTCATTTAAACTGTATTTTAACCTAAATATTTATATATATTTTTATATTTAGTCATAAAAAGAACATGCATTTTTTTTGTTGCTACCAACAAAGAGTCAAGCGAAAATTACAAAGGAGTAAAAATGAGGTAGGTCGGAACTCTTTCTCGGTAAGGGAGCAACAATCTAATGCCCTGCTTCTGCTAATCAATGTGTGCGTGTAATTTGTATCTATTTTATGATTATTGGCATCGAGCAGCATTATAATATAATAATCTAAGTTATTCTAGTATTATATTATAATATGATGCCACAAAATATTAATTAATTGTTACTTCTTTAAATCGCACCTTTGTTGGCAGAGCAAGATACGACACTGAATTTGAACATCGGTTATTTTGCAACAAACTATACTTTATTATGAATAAAAACAATTCAACTCGTTGTAATAGAGTAACTGAAAGTTTGGGGTTCCTTGAGTGGAGTCGAAATTTGTAGAAAACAATAGAGAGAAGGATGTCCAATATTTTTTTACAAATAAAACTATATTATAAATAGTTACTTTTTATTGTTGTATTCTTACATTTGCTAAAAGCATGAAGTTTATTGCGACTCTTTGTCCGCAAAATAGAAAATATTAGTTACTTAAAACAAAATAAATAAACCACTTTTAATGCCCTTGTGGCCTTTTACTCAATAATATGTTCAGTCACCAGCAACTTTCAACACGAAGAAACGTTTTCGATGGCCTCGATTCAATATCGTTTCCAAAACAAGAGAATTCATATTGCAATATAAATTTCACTATGAAATTACCACCTTTATTATAATATACATAGAGATATATCGAAATCGGTTACAAGTTACTTATCCGTGAAAGTAATCGACTATATAATAGAATTAATTACCTTAAGATAAGTGATATTTGTTATTTGACCCGTTACAATGAAACGTACAATCCACAACGCGAGCGATCGGAGCGAGGATCGCCGCCGATCCGTCACATCCGCACTTAACAAACTTTGGCGAGTACAGAGAAAACGCTACACGTCAGTCGAACGCTACAATAGTTCAACAGGCATACATCAGACGATTACATACTGTCTAAACTTAACAAGCTACGGACGAGCTCCGGCCGAGCCCGGTCCGAGCGTCGGGCGCGAGCTCGCTCGCTAGTCGGTCGTCCGTTCGTGGAGATCATCGGCGCAGCACAAGTCTACAATAATATTACACATTTCATAGGTCAGGGTCGAGGAGGGGTCTACAAGCTCCGCTACATGTCCCCTCGCCGCGCTGCACTAAACTAACACCATGGCCGCATGTTGATGTGTACCCCCCTTCCCCTCCCCCGCTCTCGTCTCCCGCCTCGGAGCTCATATTCCATCCACACGCATCGACACAAAGCTGCAGAGCGCAGTCTCATCCATCCGTCATCATTCACGCGTCGTATAAACTTTAAGCAGCTCTCTGGGTAGCTCCGGCGCGGGCGCCCGGTTTGAGCCTCTTTTTGGTACGTTTCCTTTTCGATCGTTTTAATGATCGCCCGAACGAATGAACATCACAAAAACAAGCGTCGTTTGGAAATTCTTAATCTACTGCTATCGCCGGGGGGCGGGCGAGCACGGACAGCGCGTGACGAGAGACGGGGGAGAGGTGAGGAGGGAGGGTGTGAGGAGAGGAGAGGACAGGAGAGGACAGGACAGGACAGTAGAGTAGAGTGAGGCGCTCGTGTCCCGGCTTACTCCGCCACGCCCGCCGACACGTTCGCCAATCTGGAACGCAACAAATATATACAAATTAATTATATTATCATATTGTGTCAATTCTGGCATGATTTTCAAAACTTAGAACTAAATTTGACATCATTCTCTGCTTTTTATATAGTACCAAGTGTCCCAGCGAACTTCGTACCACCATAAAAAATTATGGGTTGGTGGTAGAAGAGTAAAAATTACTGAATATGCATATAAAATTTCACGAAAATAGGATAGAGCCGTTTCGGAGTAGTTCAATAGGGGTGATGACGGGGTACAGTAAACGAAATTCTATTTAGTCCGTCGGTTTGATGATCAAAAAAATATGGACACGTATTTTTTCTTTGAGCAATCAACCAAAAAATGACAAAGTTATAGCGCGATAAAGTTTGGGAGTAGGGGCTCGTGACGTCACTTTTAAGTGAAAATTGTACCAAAACGTGACGTCATACGACTTTTCAAATCAATATATCTCTGCAATATTTATATTATGTGAAAAAGGAAAAAAACGTGTCCAGTACTTTTTGATAATGTACCTGATAAACGAAGAAAAAAAATACAGTCATCATCCCTATTACGCACACCGTGACACGAGAATTTTATATATAAGATAAAGAATGATAGGGATACTCTGTTGTCAAGTTTAAAATTAGGTTTAGAGAATCATGCCAGAATCGACATCATTATCGTTTATCTAAACATATAAAAGAACTTGACGCACAGCCCAAACCGCTGCGTCTAGAGACTTCAAATTGGCACGTAGATCCCTCGTGAGGTCTTAGGGGGCGTCCATAAATTCCGTGAGGTGTTTTTTTTTTAATTTTCTGTCCCTCCCTCCCCTTCTAGTGAGATGTCGTGAGAATTTATTCAACCCCACCCCAATCCGCCAATCTCACGTGAGATTTTTCAAAATGTGGGTTTCTTACGTAAACGCGTTGGATTGTTATTGTAAAAGGAAAAAAAATGCTTCGTGCTTTTATTTACGACTAGTGAAGACTAGTGATCAATATTGCTGAGAGTTATAACGTCGAAGTATGAATGAAATTATTTTCTTTCGGACGAATTACTGAATGATCTTAATTGTATTACGATTACAATTTGGATTAAATGGACCCAAATAGTATATATTTTTTTATTTTAATCAGATAAAAATTGCGTGATATGTGACCCCCCCCCCCCCCTCTCCAACGTACGATTAGATGAGATTTGACTCGACCCCCTCCCCCCGCCCCTTAAACATTTCGCGTAATTTATGGACGCCCCCTTATTAGGGGTGCACTAAAAAGGTACGTCGAGCCCCATGAGCGCGAGGGCCCGCAGGGCGGCGCGTGTGGTGTGAGTGTAGTGTGTGTATAGTGCTCACGGGTCTCCGGGCGCGGTATGGGCCGGGGCCGGGGCCGGGGCCGGGGCCGGGGCCGGGGCCGGGCCCGGCGCGGGCGCGTCGAGCCCCATGAGCGCGAGGGCCCGCAGGGCGGCGCGTGTGGTGTGAGTGTAGTGTGTGTGTATAGTGCTCACGGGTCTCCGGGCGCGGTATGGGCCGGGGCCGGGGCCGGGGCCGGGGCCGGGCCCGGCGCGGGCGCGTCGAGCCCCATGAGCGCGAGGGCCCGCAGGGCGGCGCGTGTGGTGTGTGTGTGTAGTGTGTGTATAGTGCTCACGGGTCTCCGGGCGCGGTATGGGCCGGGGCCGGGGCCGGGGCCGGGGCCGGGCCCGGCGCGGGCGCGTCGAGCCCCATGAGCGCGAGGGCCCGCAGGGCGGCGCGTGTGGTGTGAGTGTAGTGTGTGTATAGTGCTCACGGGTCTCCGGGCGCGGTATGGGCCGGGGCCGGGGCCGGGGCCGGGGCCGGGCCCGGCGCGGGCGCGTCGAGCCCCATGAGCGCGAGGGCCCGCAGGGCGGCGCGTGTGGTGTGAGTGTAGTGTGTGTATAGTGCTCACGGGTCTCCGGGCGCGGTATGGGCCGGGGCCGGGGCCGGGGCCGGGGCCGGGGCCGGGGCCGGGCCCGGCGCGGGCGCGTCGAGCCCCATGAGCGCGAGGGCCCGCAGGGCGGCGCGTGTGGTGTGAGTGTAGTGTGTGTATAGTGCTCACGGGTCTCCGGGCGCGGTATGGGCCGGGGCCGGGGCCGGGGCCGGGGCCGGGCCCGGCGCGGGCGCGTCGAGCCCCATGAGCGCGAGGGCCCGCAGGGCGGCGCGTGTGGTGTGAGTGTAGTGTGTGTATAGTGCTCACGGGTCTCCGGGCGCGGTATGGGCCGGGGCCGGGGCCGGGGCCGGGGCCGGGCCCGGCGCGGGCGCGTCGAGCCCCATGAGCGCGAGGGCCCGCAGGGCGGCGCGTGTGGTGTGAGTGTAGTGTGTGTATAGTGCTCACGGGTCTCCGGGCGCGGTATGGGCCGGGGCCGGGGCCGGGGCCGGGGCCGGGCCCGGCGCGGGCGCGTCGAGCCCCATGAGCGCGAGGGCCCGCAGGGCGGCGCGTGTGGTGTGAGTGTAGTGTGTGTATAGTGCTCACGGGTCTCCGGGCGCGGTATGGGCCGGGGCCGGGGCCGGGGCCGGGGCCGGGCCCGGCGCGGGCGCGTCGAGCCCCATGAGCGCGAGGGCCCGCAGGGCGGCGCGTGTGGTGTGAGTGTAGTGTGTGTATAGTGCTCACGGGTCTCCGGGCGCGGTATGGGCCGGGGCCGGGGCCGGGGCCGGGGCCGGGCCCGGCGCGGGCGCGTCGAGCCCCATGAGCGCGAGGGCCCGCAGGGCGGCGCGTGTGGTGTGAGTGTAGTGTGTGTATAGTGCTCACGGGTCTCCGGGCGCGGTATGGGCCGGGGCCGGGGCCGGGGCCGGGGCCGGGCCCGGCGCGGGCGCGTCGAGCCCCATGAGCGCGAGGGCCCGCAGGGCGGCGCGTGTGGTGTGAGTGTAGTGTGTGTATAGTGCTCACGGGTCTCCGGGCGCGGTATGGGCCGGGGCCGGGGCCGGGGCCGGGCCCGGCGCGGGCGCGTCGAGCCCCATGAGCGCGAGGGCCCGCAGGGCGGCGCGTGTGTGTGAGTGTAGTGTGAGTGCTCAGGTGGAGGGCGCCGCCCCCGTGAATGAGCGCGAGGGCCCGCAGGGCGCGCGCGCGCACGTTCGTGACGGTGACACATGACGGGGGGCTCCGTGGACAGCGACACCAGCGACAGGTACTCCCCGTGGTTGCGCTGCAAAGGATTCACACGTCACTATACTTCACCCCACATTTTTACACATTCTATATGTCAATACCGGTAAATTTTTACAAATTGCCAGTTATTTTTTTTTACTGACTTTCCATTCCCGATTCCTGATCTCACGAAACACAGCAAAATAACTGCAATATATAAATCCGGTAGCACATCTGACCCTACAAACTTTAAAACTATATTCTTGCTACCCACTTTCAGTAAGAAAATATTTGAAAAAATTATATTAGATCAAATACAATCTTATTTCTATAAAATAATTTACATCATTCTAATTTGGTCATCCTAGGGGGTCGCTCTACAACCGATGCTAATTTTGATCTCTTACAGCATAGTTTTAATCCCTGGGAGGATTCACTTGACGCTTTAGGTGTATTTTGTGATTTATCCAAAGCTTTTGATTGAGTTTTGTTCATGAAAAATTAATCAGGAATCTGCGCCACTATTGCTTTAAAGGTAGTAGCATCGAATCGAATTTTTGTCAAACAGATATGATGACACTGAACTGGAAAAATTTAAGACATCAACTTTAGATTTGCGCCGGGAGAACCTAAAGTTAACTGGGATCGTTAATGAGCTTACAGACATAGTGAATACCATAGAACAGCAGGCACGTGAGTGCAATTTGGAAATCCAATGCTTACCTGAATTCTCCAAAGAGAATTTACCCAACACTGTAATACAACTTGCTAAGGTCCGCTGGAACAGGAAAATATACTGTCTTGCACGAGAGTAGCCAAATTGGACCCTAAATCAAAAAGACCCAAGACGGTGATAGTAAAACTGTCCTCACCTCGAGTTCGTGATAGTATGATCGCGGCCTGCCTCGCGTATAATAAAGCTCACCCTGACGACAAACTCAACAGTGGTCTCCTGGGTTTGGCGGGAGACAAGGAACAAATTTATTTAAGTGAACATCTGTCTCCAAGTAATCGCTCTTTGCATGCTCAAGCCCGTTTATTTAGAAAGGAGGCAAAGTACAAATATCTATGGGTTCGAAACGGTCGTATTCTAATGAGAAAAGATGACGAGTCCCCTATTCTTTGGATCCGGAATGGTGATTTACTTCAATCATTGAAGCACTGACTTTCTCTTATTCCCTTTTATTTATTTTATTTTTAGTTTATAGTAACTATTATTATCCATATTTATACAAAATTCGATCTACTAAATATTTATTATCAAAATGTTAGAAGTATACGTGGTAAATTACATGAATTATATATATCTAGTCTTAACCAAAGTTATGATGTAATTGTTTTGATGGAGAAGTGGCTTAATGACAGTGTATTTGATGCGGAAATTCTAAATAATAACTACCGGATTTATCGTAGAGATCGCGCCACTACATCTTCTATCAAAACGGACGGAGGTGGAGTCCTTATAGCTGTCTCTAATAATCTTACGTCTTCTCGTCTTCCATACTTGGAAAGCAGTTCTGAGGATTTATGGGTTTCGATCACCGACTCCGAAGGGAGTTTTAGGTAAATTAGTTATATGTGCCTTATATCTCCCACCACCTGTATCCTCAGTAGACCTCGATAATTTGCTCAGCAATATTTCTAGTGGATTATCTTCACTTCACGATAAAATGTTAATTATAGGCGACTTTAATCTGGGAAATATTGAATGGGTCCCATGTCAATCAATGTCATCGTCAGCTATGTCTCCCAAATTCAGAAATTGTATTCTCTATCAATCCTTGTCTGATTTCATGTCATTAAATAATCTAACGCAATTTAATAATATTATGAATGGGAATAATAAACTGCTAGATTTAGTTTTCTCAAGTGGTTCATCTGTTAATGTTGGTTTTGTAGATGATCCTCTTGTGAGTCTTGATACACATCATCCATCGATTAATATTAATATTGACTTTACAGTTCATAAATGTTTGAAAAAGCAGACAATTTTAAAATTTAATTTCTATCGTGCAGATTATGCTCAAATTAATAAAAAATTTGATTGTGTTGATTGGGATCAAGAACTCAGAAATACAGACTCAGTTGATGCTATGGTTAATTCATTCTTAATTCATACTCTATAGTCAATCAAACTATAGAAAGGTACGTACCTAAAGCTTCTGCAAAATGTAATAAGTATCCTGCATGGTACTCTAAAAACCTTATTCAAATGCTTAGAGAAAAGGAAAAATTACGGAAGAGACTAAAGCTTTATAATAATCCTGTAGATGATTTTGAGTTCAAAGAGGCAAGATATAGATGCCATTTACTAATAAAAAAAATGTTACCGTCGATATTTGTATAATATTGAAAACTCTATTAGCAAGAATAACATTAAAGCCTTCTGGAGCTATGTCAAAAACAATCGCAAGAAAGCCGTTACGATGCCCTCTGTAATGCATTTGGATAATACCAAGTTTGATACTCCTCAGTCAATTTGTAATGCCTTTGCACAACACTTCTCATCGGTATACGTGGCTAATGATCCTACTATTCTAATGCCACACGTTGGCAGTACATCTTATGACAATAATAATTCCCTTTCTAATATATACCTGTCGGTAGAATGCATTGAAAAAGCGATGAAGAATCTTGATCCAAGGAAAGGTCCAGGTCCGGATGGAGTGCCAGCCATTATCCTAAAAAACTGTGCTTCTTCTCTATCATATCCGCTAAATATTATTTTTAATAAATCTTTATCTACTGGTGTTTTTCTGTTAGTTTGGAAATGGGCTAATGTCTTACCAATTCCTAAATCAGGAAATACGAGCGACGTGCGTAATTATAGACCTATTTCCTTATTACCTAGTTTTCCTAAACTATTTGAAAAATTAGTGTACCCATATTTTACAAATCATCTTGGATCCATCCTCGTTCCTCAGCAGCACGGTTTTCGTCAAAAGATGTCTACAATTACAAATCTGACATGCTATGTAAATGAATTAAGTTTTGAACTGGATCAGGGTCGACAGGTGGATGCGGTGTACACCGATATAAGTAAAGCATTCGATAAGGTTAATCACTCTATAATGCTGAAGAAATTATGCTTGGCAGGTGTTCACGGCACCTTGTTAGACTGGTGTCATTCTTATCTTTCTGAGAGGTATCAAAAAGTAGTTACTTGTGGGTATGAATCTGATTATATTCTGGTTTACTCAGGAGTTCCTCAGGGATCACATTTGGGACCTCTCTTTTTTCTAGCATTTATAAACGATCGAATATACAAAACTGTCCAAAATTCCAATGATGCTGAGCTTTTACAAAAAGATCTGAACCAAATAGCGGCTTGGTCACACGCAAATATGCTTCCTTTTAATCCTGACAAATGTAAGCATATAAAATTCACTAAGAAACGATTTCCGGTTAAGTCTGCAAATTCTATAAATTCCCAAGTTCTTGAAGAGGTATCGTCCATTCAAGATCTGGGTATTGTTTTGGATAAAAAATTACTTTTCACTCATCATTTTGACCATATTATGTCTAAGAATTTAAAAATGCTGGGATTTCTTTGGCGTAGTTGTAAGCGGTTTAAAAATGTTTAAGCATTGAAACTTCTATACTTTGCTTTGGTACGCAGTTCCTTGGAGTATTGTTCTGCTATTTGGAATCCTCTTTACGAGTGTCATAAAAGCAGGATTGAAAGAATCCAAAAAATTTTTTTGTCTTTTCTAACTAAACACCAGGGAAAAAGATATGAACTCATCTCATATAAGGATAAATTAGAGTATTTCGAGTTGGTTTCATTGCGGAAACGCAGATGGGTTGCTGATCAGATTATACTGTATAAAATTCTGAGAGGTAACATTGATTGTCCTCAACTTCTTAGTGAAATTAGTTTTAATATACCACGACCAAATTTCAGACCAGCTAACTATAAATTATTTAATTTAAAAACTTATAAAACCAATCTGGGTACGCAGAGTGTTTTAAATAGGATTTGTGAAGAACATAATAAAATCTGTGCTAGGTTCTTGGTAGGCGTTGATTTGTTCGCTGCGTCATTGATTACATTTAGGAGGGCTTTGCTATCAAGCATTGATTGTGACACTTGATTATAGTTTAGTTTTATGTATGTTTTTTTTTATACCTAGTTTAGTTTTATATCATTAATTTTGGCAGAAATAAGAGTTGTGTATGCCTGTAACTGTTTTTGCGATAGGATCCAGAGGTTCATCAGTACCGTTGGGTGTTCCTCAGGGCTCGATTCTTGGTCCATTCTTGTTTCTAATTTATATTCATGACATACCTCACTTTATAAGGCAAAATCACGAGATAGTATTATTTGCAGATGATACCTCACTTTTATTTAAAATTAAAAAACAATCAACCACTCATTGACGATGTGAACAATGCCATCTTAAAAGCAGTTCACTGGTTTAGTGCCAAGTGAAGCGCAATACCGGCATTAGCCAATTACAAATAGCCATGTGTGGTGTTGTGTCAGATGATGTGATGTGAATGATGTCACGTACCTTGGGGAAGTCAGAGAATTGCACGGTGAAGCCCAGCAGTTGCGCTAGGTAGAGCAGTTGGTCCTTGGCGCCCGGCGAGCCCCCCGACCCGGAGCCGGGCCCGGAGCCCGACCCCGGCCCCGCCCCCACGCTTGGTGTCGCCGTCTCGCTCGCACCTGCACATCGCACATATTACGTCACTCTCCATCCCTTACACACTTGAACTCTCTCGACCTCCCGGAAGTACTCCCGCTCCCTTACAAACTTGCAAAACCTCTTTATTTTATTATGAATTTGACACGTTATGTTATAGAATAAGACGAATACCGATACTGGCACGACGTGTTGTGACCTCACTACGAATTATAATTAATCATCTTTCTTAGAAATGTTGTTTTAAATAAAATTTATTTCGTAATCAATATCGATCGAGTACCATGGGTATTTTGAATGAAATTGCAAGCATTTGAATTACTATTATCAAATTTATAATGGTTAAGAGACACACATGATGCATGATAATATATACCAGCGGGTCGCGGCGTATAGTCCATGAGCAGCACGCCCGGCACCGGCTGCCGGGACTCGCCGCCGCCTGTCCCCAGCCCCACTCCTCCTGTCTCGCCCTCCTGGACACATTCATAAACGTACCACTATAGCAACTATCCATACTTCACGTCAATGTTGTTTACATTACCAAACTATATGAGTTCCTAACTTAAATCAAACAACTTTCTCTTAAAAATTTAGTTATTTAGAATTTTACAGCAGAAAACGTGCACGAGGTATTTGAAAACCTTCGGCAGTCAGAATCCCAGAAAAACGGCCATGTGCGGCCTGTGTTGAGTGAACTTACTTTCCGTTTGTTGTCCATCGCTGCAGCGGTCGCGGGCGCGGGCTTGGTGACGTCAGCATCGAGCGAGGTGCCGGCCGCGTCGCTTCCGTTAGCGCTCGACTCCATCGCTAGCAGCACGTCTGTGAAACGAGCGCGACCATTACATTCGTTCGATTACACTCCTGTCATTAAAAAAGATTTTAATTTGAACGAATTCTGAATGGTGACGAGCGTGTTGCGGTCGTCTATGTGTATGTCTAATAAAATATAAAAATGGATGCGTGTAACTTATGTACGCGCGTGAGAAGTTATACTTCTTTAGCATCATTAAAAATATTTTTTAATCGCATGCAAATAATTAATAATTACAATAAAATAATAAAAGGACTGGAAAAGGATAGTCAACACAGTCAATTAAGTTCAGTTTTAATTTGAAAAATTAAATAAATATTCAAAATATTCAATTAAAATCACTACTGAATTTAAGTTATTAGTTACCAACATTCACAACGCGCCCGCGGCCAACTTCATGGTGTTACTATTGTGTTACAGTGATGTGCGCGCATCTCGAAATTTCACTCACATGATTTTTTCATAACGCGCCCGCGGCCAACTTCATGCTGTTACTTTTGGGTTACAGTGATGCGCGCGCATCTTAAAATTTCACTCTCATCATTTTTTCATAACGCGCCTAAAGAAGTATAACTTCAAAAATAATACAAAACATAAATAGACTCGTGTCGAATGTGCTCACTGTGCGCGGCGCGGCGCTTGGCCGTCTTCTTGTTGGGCCCGAGTCCGGTCGCGCAGTGCGGGGGCGCGTCGCACTGCACCAGGAACTCCCGGCGGCGCGCGCAGCCCCGCTCCTCCACCACGCGGTACTGCGGGGAGCGCGCGCGCACCGCGTGTCGCGCCACGGCCAGCCGCGAGATGGGGTTGTCGCCCCCGCACCCGCCCCCGCCCCCGCCCACTCCGCCGCCCCCCACCCCGCCCGCCCCACCCGCCCCGCCGCCCCCCGTCCCGCCCTCCTGCACACACCGAACGTTCTGAAGAGCCCTTTCACATTTATTGCAAAAAATCGTAATTTTTGAGCGCCTCGTTTACCCCCCCGGAGAAGATTTTGACCATTTCCAATAGAAGTAAGCGGTAGATTTATTCTTCCTATTGTAAGTTAATGTAGAATATTTGCAAATGCTTTTTTCCTTTTTTTGTACTGATCGTTCTACTGCAGCTACGTTTACGGAAAAAACGATAATATGCACAACTTCAAACGCCTAAATCTCTCAATTATGTTTAATAAATTAGATCAAATTAATTACCACGACATCAGAATATGTTTTTGTTGTAACATAATGTAGACTTTTGATTTTGCATCTCGTTATTATCAAAAAAAAACATCAAACCTCCGTGAGTTTTCCCAAAAATAATGCAGATTTACCTAGTATTTTGATATTGAATTAAATAGAATTACTATCCATAAACTTTCATAAAACTAATCTACCATTATTGAACTACTGAAAGATGTATATATTTTTATAATTAGTTCATTAATAATTATTTTATAAGACTCGAAACATCACCCGTAAAATGCAATATATTACCTACGCGCCGATCAGTACGACAGCGGCACAATTTTATAAAAGGGCTCTTAAACTTTTACCGTAAAGTACGTCAAAGGCGTAATCTTAATTCTATAACTTATAATCTATAAGCACATAAATAACCACATAAAAAAAATTAATTAACCCCAGCTTAAACAATTAGCATGGTTTCGTGAAGGGGCGCTCTACTGCCTGAAATCTTTTATGTTATATTCATTACCTGAATACCGCTCTCAATAAACGAATACAGGTTGATTCACTATACACAGACTTCGCTAAGGCATTCGATAAGGTGGATCACAAAATATTAATTCGTAAAGCATACCACCTCGGCATACACGGCTCGCTTCTGCGTTGGTTGACTTCATACTTAAGTAATCGAACTCCAATCGTCAAAGTGTACAGATATGAATCTGTGCCGTTCACGTTTAGATCCGGTGTACCACAGGGCTCCAACCTTGGGACCTCTGTTGTTTGTGTTGTTTATCACCGATTTGGTCAACTTGATTTCAGGCATTTCCCTTGCTTATGCCGATGATATAAAAATTTACAGAGAAATAAGATCTAAGGATGATTGTGAGACATTGCAAAGTGACATCAACCGTTTGTCTAACTGGTGTTTAAATAACAACATGACGCTAAATATATCAAAATGGGCTGTTATAATTTTTACGAAAAATAAACGAGCTATACACAACACTTACACTATTGATGATAAACCATTGAGCAGACTCGACGTTGTTAGGGATCTCGGGAATCTACTGGACAGCAAACTATCGTTCAACAGACACTATAACTATATTGTTTCAAAAGTTAATAAGCTCATGGGATTCATATTTAGAATAACAAAACCTTTTAGAAGACGTTCGAGTACATTAACCCTTTATTTCGCATTGATTAGAAGTACACTCGAATCTTGTTCAGTGGTATGGTCGCCATTCTACAACATCCACATAGATAGAATAGAGGCTATTCAAAGGCGATTTCTTCGATATTTAAGCGCAAAGTTCGGTATGAGGCGTAAATTGGGCACATACGAGGCTAGGCTTGAGTATTTACACACCTACATACTCAATTGAATCCAAGCGACTATACCTTAGAGCTCTTTTCATGGTAACTTTTTTATTCGTTAATATTTCATTCATCTTATACATTTTTTAACTTTTAACATTGCAATAAGTATTTCAATATGAAAGGTGATGGTGCGATATTTACTCCGGAAAACTTCTTGAACATCGACCATAGACAAACCTGGGAAACCGGCACAGTAGCAATTTTACATAGGCAGCAGGGCGGGCGGCCAGCGGCGCCGCATCTCGTCAGCGTGGGGTGTGGGGGCGGTACCTTGATCAGGTTCCTGGGCTTCTTCTTGGCGGGCTGGTGCCGGCGCCGGTCGTGGGGCGGGCGGGGCCGCAGCAGGGCGGGCGGCCAGCGGCGCCGCATCTCGTCAGCGTGGGGTGTGGGGGCGGTACCTTGATCAGGTTCCTGGGCTTCTTCTTGGCGGGCTGGTGCCGGCGCCGGTCGTGGGGCGGGCGGGGCCGCAGCAGGGCGGGCGGCCAGCGGCGCCGCATCTCGTCGAGCATGCGCTCGGCCGCGCGGCGCTTGGACACCTTCTTGCCGTTGCCCTCGCCCTCCGTCTCCAGCTCGCCCACGGTGCACAACGTCACGAACACCTGCATCGACCACATACTCATGCTATACCACGAGAGGCAACCTTAATCAAACTCAAAGAAGAGAAGAGGGACAACCGACATGCTCCATTTTTAAAATACGCAAGTGATTCCTTCTCCTCCTCCTAATTAGGAGGAAATTCGGTTTATCTGTCTGTTATACAGACACGAAAGCTGATAAACTGAATTTGATCTATTTTGGTATGCTTTACAAGGAGGTTTTCAAAAAGACATAAGTTACCGCAAAATATATTTTGAAGGGGACGAAGTAAATTATGGAAGCAACGACATTAAAAACCCTGGATCACGTGTGTTCAAAATGTGTCCAATCAAGAAGTGCTTGAAGCACCACTCGTGCACTTCCTGGTTCACAGACACGCGCGATTCGTTGAAAAGTCAAGATGCCGCATCACGGACAGGTTCCGCTTGAGCGCCAGCTCGTGCACCAGCGACACCGGCGACCTCACCTCCCCTCCCCTCCCCTCCCCTCCCCGCCTCCATCATATATGAGTACAATGCAGCACAGGTACAGCAGTACACATACCCTCATATGCGGCGGGCCGCGCTCGGACTTGACGGTGAACAGCACGGACAGGTTCCGCTTGAGCGCCAGCTCGTGCACCAGCGACACCGGCGACCTCACCTCACCTCCCCTCCCCTCCCCTCCCCGCCTCCATCATATATGAGTACAATGCAGCACAGGTACAGCAGTACACATACCCTCATATGCGGCGGGCCGCGCTCGGACTTGACGGTGAACAGCACGGACAGGTTCCGCTTGAGCGCCAGCTCGTGCACCAGCGACACCGGCGACCTCACCTCCCCTCCCCTCCCCTCCCCGCCTCCATCATATATGAGTACAATGCAGCACAGGTACAGCAGTACACATACCCTCATATGCGGCGGGCCGCGCTCGGACTTGACGGTGAACAGCACGGACAGGTTCCGCTTGAGCGCCAGCTCGTGCACCAGCGACACCGGCGACTTCACCTCGGAGCCCAGTGCGTCCGCACCCGCGTCTATCGTAACATGTACAAAATCACCTTTAACGAGTTGCGTTCATATTAAATTGAGTTATTTGGTATAAAACAAATATGGTGGTTTGACAGTCAGTAGATGTATAACGTCGAAGTATGAATGAAATTATTTTCTTTCGAACAAATTAGTGAACAATTAGTCTGGACCCGGCTAGTAATAGCATTCACAAATGGAGTGGGGTGTTCATAACTTTGTAATCGTTTACCGGAAAAGGTTATAAGATTTAGGATTACCCACTACAATTATTCTATCGCGCTCAATGAATCAGAAATGATATGGGATTCGAACTGCGTTAACAAGCGGTTTCTCGCAAACTGCGATCAACACGCTGATCATGGGATCAGTCGGTATTCCCGTTTAACTCACCCAATGAATCGATGGATGAGTTATTTTGCAGATATTTGATTTTATAATTCGTTTTGTCGAAGCGTATGTCGCGTTAGGATCAAAGTTTTTTTTAATTTATTTATTTATATATTTGGCATGCCAACATTTTTACACCCAACTTAATTAAAAAAAAAACATACGTTATACATAAATCTGTGCAAAAACAGTTACAGGCATACACAACTCTTATTTCTGTCAAAATTAATGATAAATTTATTGAATTTTAATTTCAACCATGTGTTCGAACGGTTTTCGTCGGAGAGTAAAGCTTCCGCATTACTTAAAACTAGAGGTCGCCCGCGACTTCGTGTGCGTTAAGTTAGTTTCTTGAAGATACCTCCGGAACCTAACTTTTTCTTTTGGGATAAAAGTAGCCTATGTGTTAATCTAGGGTGTCAGCTAACTTTATACCAAATTTTATTAAAATCGCTCCAGTCGTTTAGACGCGAAGAAGTAACAATAGTACATTACGATACGCGTGACCTAAGTTGCCTCGCTCCGCTCGGGCGCTAACTTCACGCCGTGCAGTAATAGACAACTTAGGCCACAAGTATCGTATACTATTTTATAGCAAGTGTGACATAAACCCGCCCCGGACGCGGGCAAGAGGGATGCGATTAGTGTTTTGAAAGTAAAATTCATGTATTACAATCACAAAGAATTGCAATACAGACTGCATGTCAAACTCTGAAAAGAAAGAATTCCGGTTCAGATTACCATTTTGAAACTATATTTCAAAAGGAAAAAATCAAATATTATAAGAAAATAGAATTTCAATGTATCCATGAACGTTTATTCCTCGATTGGCATAGTAAAGTTAAGTTACGCGTATCGTAATGTACTAATTCTACATGAGTGAAGTTGGTCAATTCATTCACACACTGTGCAGAAATAGGCAACTTAGGTCACGGAAAAGCGTGCGTAAAGTGCGGGTTTAGGTCACACTGTGCTATAAACATACACACTCACAAACTTTCGCCTTTATAATATTAGTGTGATCTCGGCAGTAGGGACACGATATCGAATAGAAAGTATCGATACTGTACTCATGAGTAGTATCGGAAAAAAAGTATCGTACTCGTAAAAGTATTGAAACAAAAGTATCGATACTTCAAAGTATCGAGTACATTTCATAGGACCTTATAAGCAATGTAGATACTCTTAAAAACGTGTAATGTTAATATAATCAACTGCAAAACTAAACGTGAATTACTCAAGTACGTAAGTCTCAGGACACACTAGATCGCTTCTGCTTCCAATTATATCAACGCAATCGAATGTTTTAGAAGGTTTGCTATGATTCCACCAGATGGCGTCGCCATCAATATAAGACGCTTATCCAAAATTTTAAAGGTATCGATACTTTTTTTAGTTTAGTTATTTAGTTGAAGTATCGAAAACCAAGCATCGAGTACAAAAGTATCGGTATCGAAAGGAAAAGTACTCGATGCCACAAAGTATCGATACTTTTTTCGTGTCCCTACTCGTCAGTCGCGCTCACTATAAGAGAGTACAATCCGTCAACTGACCGGCATCGTTGTCGGCGGCGTCGTGCGGTGCGGCGGGCGCGTTGGTAGCGGGCGCGGTAGAGGCGGGCGCGGACGGCGCGGGCGCGGGCGCGACAGACACGGGCACGGGCGGGCGCAGGTCCCTCAGCGCGCGGGCGGCGGCGTCGTGCCGCGCGGCCTGCGGCGTGCTGCCCTCCCCCAGCCACGCGCGCCCGCCCACGCTCACGCGCACGCGGTACACCAGCGCGGGCCCGCCCCCGCCCCCGCCCAACCCGAACCTGTTGTAAAACATTTATAATAGACTGGTGGCCCGCCCTCGCTTCGCTTCGGTGTAGAGCTGGAGTGTAAACTATACTTTTTGTTCTCAGGCTTGTGCTATAAACGATGACTTTGTTTATATAATTACACGTGTTATTGTGAGTCGACCATAAAAGATAGACATATGCTGTTGCGGGATATTTTTTAGACAATTTTATGTAGAATATTTCCGTCATACATGATTTCTATGTAACTTTAACCATTAAGGCTGCACACGCGACGGAAGCTTAAAAAATGGAGTAACTTCTCCCGTTTTCCCAACATTTCCCTTCACTACTCTGCTGCTATTGATTGTAGCGTGATGAAAAGTATACTATGATATATAACCTGCCCAGGAGTATGCAGAATAATTGTACCAAGTTTCGTTAAAATCCGTTGAATAGTTTTTGTTTCTATAAGGAACATACACACAGACAGACAGACAGACAAAAATTTTACTGATTGCATTTTTGGCATCAGTATCGATCACTAATCACCCCCTGATAGTTATTTTGAAAATATATTTCATGTACAGAATTGACCTCTCTACAGATTTATTATAAGTATAGATCTCAAAAGAGCTCAGAGGTCCGTACTGAAGGTTATGACGTTTAGCCCGTTCAGATTTTCAACCAAGTTGCTGTATGAAAAGTATGAAGTTCTTACCGTGAGACAAATATATATCCTCCAAACTCTTTTAAAACAGCATCGTGATACCCCATACAATGCCAAAAAATATAGAAGTAAACGCACTATTGTCAGTGTATGTAATCTACCAAGATTTCGCACAGCATTTGCTAGGCGACAACAGTTTGTTTATTTATCTAAGTATCTTTACAATAAAGTAAATAAAATAATTAATTTTTACCCATTACCTATTAAAGACGCAAAAACTAAAATAAGAAAATGGTTACTTACCCTTAACTATGATTATACCGAATCTTTGCTGTTAAACTAAGTTCCCTACTTTTTGACTTGCACGCACATTCACTAAAACACACACACACACACACACACACACACACACACACACACACACACACACACACACACACACACACATACACACACACACACACACTCACGCGGACTTATTTATTCTGATCGAATTCTGATTGCTTCAATTATTTCAATAATGTATGTCTTATTGTAAAACTGTTTTGTTACATAAATAGTTATGATCTATGTATTCGGAAGTGGGCACTGACCCCTGTCACAAGGTCTTTATCCTATTATAGGGGTCAGGGACTACATTATAAACATGTAATCAATTTATGTGTCAATAAATAAATAGATTATACAGTGCAACCTTGATATAACAAATTGGAAGGGAACAAGTAAATATTCGTTATATCGAGTAATTCTTTAAACTGAGGTTTGTTATATTGAGGTTAGGTTGGTCTAAAATTTGTTATAAAGAGGTAAAAAAAATGTTTATTGAGGTTAGGTTGGTCTAAAATTTGTTATAAAGAGGTAAAAAAATTGTTTCTTGTCTGTAATATGAATCACGTACTATGGGATTAAGGGCCATATATTGATGGATACGTAATATAGAGGTTTTTGGTTGACAAAATTGTTAATTAGAGATATTTACTCTTTTTTTTTTGATAGTTGAAAATTTGTTATAAAGAGGTTATTCGCAAAAAATGTTCGCAATGCAAAGGCATATTTTACATCGACTCTTATGGTAAATTCAAGGGGATTACGAAGAATTTGTTAAATCAAGGAAGTCGTTATATTGAGGTACGTTATATTAAGGTTGCACTGTATTATTATTATTATTACCTGTACCCGCCCCTCGCGCCAGTGACCGTGGGCATGGCCGCGAGCGGTCCGCGCGCCGCCAGCGCCGGCACCGACGTGTACACCGCCGGCTGGCACAGCTTCATCGCCAGCGCGTTCAGCTCCACCGTCGGCATCACTGCACCTGCACACGCTCAGTATCCTGTACCTTTACATGACGATCGCATCGCGCGAGCCCCCTCCACCCCTCCACCCCTCCCTCACCCTGAGGACCTGTCGTTACCCTGCTTCCAACAAACATGCTGTCCTATTACGCTATTTAGTATGACTAGTATAGCGAGCCCATACAATAGGGGTGATGACGGGGTGCAGTGAAAGAAATTCTATTTAGTCCGTTAGTTAGATGATCAAAAAATAATGGACGCGTATTTTTTCTTTGGGCAATCGACCAAAGCGCGTCAAAGTTTAGAAGTAGGGGCTCGTGACGTCACTTTTAATGAATTTTCACTTATGAGTATAGTACTCAAACGTGACGTCATGCGACTTTTCAAATCAATATATCTCTGCAATGTTTATATTATGTGAAAAAAAAAATACGTGTCCAATACTTTTTGATAATCTACCTGATAAACGAAGAAAAATCGCCATCATCCCTATTTACGCGGTGTTGTATGTGAATTATTATCATGCTGAGTTATACACTTTCATATTCCTGATGTGTTATAGGATAACTTTTGACTATTTACTCTTCAGATAGTGTCACATCGTAGACACTGCGATAAAAACTATCAAACTAGACTACCGGTCACCTGCGTGCCGCGGCTGGTGATGGTGGTGGTGCGTGGCGGCGCGGGGCGGGGGCGGCGGGAACCCGGTGGCGTCTAGTGCCGCGTGGGCCGCAGCGTGCTGCGCGCGTTTTATCGACGAACCCTGGGCGCAATCATAAAACATAATAATGTTACCTTATTTCTAAATAGCAAACGTTGTTGTAGCTTAACATATGTAATTTGTTTAATTAATAGATTTTTAGAATCGAATAGAGTCAGCCTAAATTATAATTTACACAAAAACTAATCATTTACTTAAGATTAATGATTACTTTTCAAAAAGTCTTCCAAGACTAACAAATGGCAAAGATCCCATTGAAACTTTGGTTAAAAGAGAAGCAAACTTCCTCGATTTATATTAATAATCTAGGGACGACCTCATCGATCACTCACCTCAGCAGTATATTCCTCAGTATCACCCAGTCGAAGTGTTACCGTGAATACTTTCTTGTGCGCGGGTCCCGTCTCCGATGTGAGGCGGTATTGATGCTTAATCTGGAGAAACATTTTTTTATATAACATCTTAGGAATCGACTCCTAAATATTAAAGAAAAATTGTGTGTGTCAGCTCCGATGCACGACTGGAGTTTACTCCTTAAATTCGATAGTCTAACCGGACGCAAAAAGAGTTTATTTAACTTAAAAAAGATTGATACTGTAAATGCCATATCCACGTTTACTTCTAAAGCTCAATGGTTTTGTGTTCAACGAATGGCGCGGTGGTACAGTCGTCGTAGGCAATAAAGGTACGCTACGATACTGTGCTACGGTGTAGCACTACGGCTGCTACAGCGTAGACAGTAAAAACGTAACGGGGTCATTCATCGATAGATTTTACTCCTCACATTTTTCTCATACCGGGCCCCTTATATATGCAAATCGATTCTTAAGGAGTAAACTCCAAAAGTGTCACTCAGTATGGAGCTTAAAGGATAGGGCGGATGTTTCCCCAGAACTGACCTTATTGTACCTGGCCAGCTCGTTGACCAGGCACATAGGAGTCTTCTCTTTACTGTTGGCCGGAGTGGCGGGGGCCGGGCGAGCCGCCTCGCTGTCGCCCGGCGCCGCCGCTTCCGCACCCGCACCAGCACCCGCGCCCGCGCCCCCGCCCGCCTCCACACCCGCGGCGGCGGCAGACTGCGGGGGCGCAGCGTCGCCCACCGTGTCCCCCGCCGCGCTGACCACCGCGCCGGGCGGGGCGGGGACCACCGTGTACACGTCCCCGTTCATCTTGGCGCCTGCGGGTGCGACCATTACATCACTCACAGTACTGCAGCCCAATCGCACTGTTTAGGTATTATTTCGAACGATCCGCCAAAGTTCGATTATGGTCAAATCTTGGTCCTATTCTAATTGCAACTCAACTTTATACGAAATCGATATCGCGCTAATTTTCAACCGTCCCGTCAACTGAAATCTACTTAATGTTTTGAATGAAGTTCACCAGAGTACGGTCAGATCGTGATACGTTTCCATCTTTCCTAGCTGTCAAAACTTGAGCGCGATACAAAATGTCATAAAAAAATCGGCTCCTTTACAGTTCAATGCGTGAAAACCGATGACAAACGCCAATGCGCGTCCGGCCTCCAAATAGCCTTCCTACGAGTAGCATGAACGACTAGCTGGAGGGTATTCCCTATCGCCATTCAAATCTTTTACGGAAAGTAAGCAGCAACAGGCGCAAGAACGAACTAGCTCTCTCCGTGGCAATTTTGATGGTGACAATTTGAATATTTTCCCGCTGGTTGTTCATACTAAGGGTAAAAATCGTGACGTAACGACCCAGTGTAATATTTAGCTGACTTATATATCCTGACCCTTTTAAATTACGATAGTAGACGGATGTGTCGACTACATTTGATAATTATTAATGCAAATCTACAAATGTCAGAAATACCACCCTTGAACAATGCATTATTAATTATTCTTTCATTAGTTCGATGGTTCTTCGAGCTTCGGAGAATGGTCGCATGAAATTTTAAAGTGAAACTTTTTTCCGTCGGGTTGTAAATGGAAAAACCCCTGGGGAAATGATGTAACGGAAATGCATCACAAGAATATATATATACAGTGGTAGTCGTATAATTAGAAACACTACCAACGGTCCTTGACATTATGTAAGAAACTTCAGCGCAATCGTTTTTATTTTGAAATTAAACAATATGTTCGATGAATTATCATTACTACAATTAATTTAATTAGAAAAACAATATAAATGCCATTACACAAGTACAGTTTCCATATTAGATTACGGACAAACATTTAAATCATTTTTAAGGTATGAACATTAATGGTCAACTTATTATATACAACAACAACAAAAACGTATAAAAAAATATTTTTCAAGTATTAGTAATTAGTATTGTTAATTACGAAATAGCTACTATCCACAGCCTACTAATATTTATAATAAATATTTAGTGGCGTATCCCTTATTTCCAATAACAGCTCTGAAACGACGTGGCATTGATTCAATCAATTTCATACATTTTTCTAGGGGGATTGAATTCCATGCTTCAACAAAGTTCGTTTGGATTAGTGTTACGTTTGTTTGCGACTTTCTTTTTAACAATATACCAGAGATTTTCTATCGGGTTTAAATCCGGACTATTTGCTGGCCAGTCTAAAACGGATACACGCTGTTCGCTAAGGAAACATTTGACGCTATTGGCCGTGTGTTTAGGGTCATTGTCATGCTGAAAGATCCAGGTTACAGGCAAATGATCGTCCGAGTAGCGAATCATTGTGTGCTCTAAGATATTTTTGTATTGCCATTGATCCATTGTACCTTCAATCTTTCGAAAGGGTCCAACTCCTCATCCAGAAAATCACCCCCAAACTTTAATATTACAGCCACCGTGCTTGACTATACTCCTTGTGTATTTATAATTAAAAGCATATTTTACAGGACATCTAATATAGCGTTTTCCATCGAAATTTACCATATTTATTTTTGTTTTATCTGAAAATAACACTTTTTGCTCGTACCGTTCATTTAACATATTTTTTGGCGAATAATAATCGCATCTCCCGGTTCTCTTCGGATCTGATGGTGGAATCCGGGGAAATCGAGGAAAACCTTCAAATTGCAAAGGCACGTACGATGTTTTTTAATGCATGTTCACTGATTTCTCCGTCAATTGTGTTATAGTTTACTTGGACGATGTAATTTTCACAAAAATGAATGAAATAAAAAAAGATAAACAAAAAATAAAACCGATTTCATAATCGATCGATAATACGTTTTTCAATCTTGACGCGCCCGACTTCCAAATCATGAACAAGATATTATTTTTTACTTTTTTTAGTTCCATTTTCGATTTTGAAGTTGGTTTTATTTTTTGGATAAAAAATATTTTTATAGCCCATTTTGAGCAAAATAAAATTCAGATAAAATTTTTAATTGCCGCCAAAATAATAGAAAAGCCAAGAAAGAAATGTTATTCTCCAATTTAAAAAAGAACGAGCTATGAATGCCTTTTTTAAAATGTTTCTAATTAGGCGTCCAAGCGGCCAGTAGCAGAAAATAAACTCCTACATGTGTAAGACTCATTTTGTAATTAAAAGTAAGATATGTTTTATATTTTATTTTGTAATGAGTTTATTATTTGACTGGTAATATTAATGCATGATTATGAATTATTGAATATGTATATTTTTTACGAACATTTGTATGTTGAATTTGTACTTTCTTTATTCATAAGAAGTGTTTCTAATTATATGACTACCACTGTATATATGAGTGATGTGTCCGCTGCTCTATTCGCCTATGCCTTATGCACTACCTAATGTTAGTTTATTTAAGAAAACAAGTTTCACTTCAGATGTGCGGTCTGTGCACATTTTTTTTTAATTTCGATAAGTCAAGAAAACAATCAAACGTATAATAAGCGATCTAAACGAGTAAACAACTATGCAACAAACAAACAACACAAAGTACAACAACAAAATATAGTATTGAGTGCAACTGACCGAAGTCTGACATAAGCTTTTTCTTTCCCAAGGTGAGCGGCGACGAAGATCTGCGCAGTCCTAGTAAATAAGTTACAATAAATCTACAAATTTCCTATTCAATGCATATTCTCCACAGATCTAAGAGCATAATTCATTCAGGTAAGAACCAATTTAAGAACGCATTCCATAAATATGTTGAACTGAGAAAATGAATCACTTATAAAGTAGCAGGATGTAGGCATTTACTGGTTGTTTAAACTGCCTTAAGCTTTTTACGAACTCCCTACAATGAACTCACTGGTGCCGAGCTTAGTTTATAATGTAAATTGTGTGGGGTCTGACTGTCCGTCACCACGAGCGAAAGAATCGCGACGGTGCTTCTATCTTCGGGTTATCACTACGACAATACCGAGCGATTAACCAGCGTATCGTCACAACTCGGAACGAAATCATAGCGCGTCCGCGACGACTCATAAGAGGATCGCCGCGTTTCCTTGATGGATGCGGTTCAAAGGGATCCGTCAGATGCCAGACTAGAGTGTTCAATGTGTTTGATAGCGCAAAGAGCGTGCGGCGTGCGGACCGCTAGGCATTGACAGTATGCAACGGTATACGTATGGTCTGCTCTCAGCCACTAGATAACATGGGCGCCTGGTGCCGGTAGGGCGGGGGCAGCACGCCGCCCGCGCCGTACGCGCCGCCCGGACCGACCGCCCCGCGCCCCGCGCCCCGCGCCCCGCCCGCGGTGATAACATGGGCGCGTACACTCACCAGTGTGCGGGTGGTGGATGGGCGCCTGGTGCCGGTAGGGCGGGGGCAGCACGCCGCCCGCGCCGTACGCGCCGCCCGGACCGACCGCCCCGCGCCCCGCGCCCCGCCCGCGGTGATAACATGGGCGCGTACACTCACCAGTGTGCGGGTGGTGGATGGGCGCCTGGTGCCGGTAGGGCGGGGGCAGCACGCCGCCCGCGCCGTACGCGCCGCCCGGACCGACCGCCCCGCGCCCCGCGCCCCGCGCCCCGCGCCCCGCCCGCGGTGATAACATGGGCGCGTACACTCACCAGTGTGCGGGTGGTGGATGGGCGCCTGGTGCCGGTAGGGCGGGGGCAGCACGCCGCCCGCGCCGTACGCGCCGCCCGGACCGACCGCCCCGCGCCCCGCGCCCCGCGCCCCGCCCGCGGTGATAACATGGGCGCGTACACTCACCAGTGTGCGGGTGGTGGATGGGCGCCTGGTGCCGGTAGGGCGGGGGCAGCACGCCGCCCGCGCCGTACGCGCCGCCCGGACCGACCGCCCCGCGCCCCGCGCCCCGCCCGCGGTGATAACATGGGCGCGTACACTCACCAGTGTGCGGGTGGTGGATGGGCGCCTGGTGCCGGTAGGGCGGGGGCAGCACGCCGCCCGCGCCGTACGCGCCGCCCGGACCGACCGCCCCGCGCCCCGCGCCCCGCCCGCGGTGATAACATGGGCGCGTACACTCACCAGTGTGCGGGTGGTGGATGGGCGCCTGGTGCCGGTAGGGCGGGGGCAGCACGCCGCCCGCGCCGTACGCGCCGCCCGGACCGACCGCCCCGCGCCCCGCGCCCCGCGCCCCGCGCCCCGCCCGCGGTGATAACATGGGCGCGTACACTCACCAGTGTGCGGGTGGTGGATGGGCGCCTGGTGCCGGTAGGGCGGGGGCAGCACGCCGCCCGCGCCGTACGCGCCGCCCGGACCGACCGCCCCGCCCACGCCGCCCGCGCCGTACGCCCGCCGCATCGGCTTCATCTGTTGCTGCAAGCCGCATCACCACATTAATAAATTAATTATTGTCTCATATGATTACCTGCCACGATTATGAACAGTGGGAGTGTTGATTAATCGTTTGTAGGTATGACGAACGAGCGCGATGATACATTTTCATGAGAATATACCGATTTACCGATCGCGAGCATTTCATCATGAGTATTTTTATATTTATGAAGTGAAACTTCTTTGGGCACGCTTGACTTGAGGAGTAAACTAGCGAATGTGTCACTATTTTTGCGTTACGTTTAGTGTCACCGGAGACTCAATACCCGTCACAAAATACATGAATCTAGTACTTGGTGGGTAATTACAGACCCAGCACAGATTGGTGAGTGATAATGGACCCAGCGCGGATTGGTAGGTGACAATAGACCCAGTGTAGATTGGTGAGTGATAACGTACCCAGCGCGGATTGGAGGGTGATAACGAACCCAAAGCAGATTGGAGAGTGATAAAGGACCCAGCGCGGGTTGGTGGTTTTTTTATCAACAGAAGCACACTCGCTTTTTTTAGATATACTTCTTTAGTTGCGTTTTGAAAAAATGATGAGTGAGATATTAAGATGCACGTGCATCACAATAACACCACGAAGTTGGCCGCGGGCGTGTTATGTACAAATGGGGGTGAAATTTTAAGATGCGCGCGCATCACTGTAACACAGAAATAACACCATGAAGTTGGCCACTAAACCGCGCAATAATTTTCGAAAAAACCTACCAACAAAATAAAAATAGAATATCTATTAGACGCGCATGTTGGCACGCTCATCGCCACTGACCGCTGTTTTCATATTAATAATATATACTTCGGGCCACATCTATCGGCCCACTTAGTGTTATTAGTTTGAATGGATTGGAGCAAAATTATATGTCAATGGTTGAGGAACAACTTTAAAAACACACGAAAAGATGGTTAATAAATCAGCTTCAAAACAGTGTAGGTAATAAGTTTTTGCTCAATGTAACATTTATTTTGAGCTAGGGACCGTCAAAACTTAAAATGCTAGGTGGGCCGATAGATGTGTCCGGAAGTGTTTATCCACATGTTTCTATGTTCACAACACGGGTTTTAGTTTCACAAAGCAAGCGGTTTAATAATGTTGAAGCATTCAAACTTCTACACCTTGCTTTGGTACTCAAGTTTCTTGGAGTATTGTTCTGTTATTTGGAATCCTCTTTATGAGCGTCATAAAAGAAGGATTGAAAGAATCCAAAAAAAGTTTTTGTCTTTTCTAACTAGACACCAGGGAAAAAGATATGAACTCATCTCATATAGGGATAAATTGGAGTATTTCGAGTTTGTTTTATTGCGGAAACGCAGATGGGTTGCTGATCAGATTATACTGTATAAAATTCTGAGAGATAACATTGATTGTCCGCAACTTTTTAGTGAAATTAGTTTTAATATACCACGACCAAATTTCAGACCAGCTAACTATAAATTATTTAATTTAAAAACTTATAAAACCAACCTGGGTGTTGTTTTAAATAGAATTTGTGAAGAACATAATAAAATCTGTACTGGGTCCTTGGTAGGCGTTGATTCGTTCGCTGCGCCATTGATTACATTTAGGAGGGCTTTGCTATCGAGCATTGATTGTTAAACTTGATTATAGTTTAGTTTTACTTTTATGTATGTTTTTTATACCTAGTTTTGTTTTTGAAGTTATACTTCTTTAGGCGCGTTATGAAAAAATGATGAGAGTGAAATTTTTAGATGCGCGCGCATCACTGTAACCCAAAAGTAACAGCATGAAGTTGGCCGCGGGCGCGTTATGATCTTTGAACGATCCACGGAGCTCCATAAGGTGATCGCGTTGTCAAAAACAATGTTGACACGCTCGTCGCCTCTGATCATTGTTTTCATATTTATAATATTTATCCACATATTTCTAGTTTCTATATAGACACAACGTGTTTTAGTTACTTACAAGTGCTAATTACATATGGACTAATAACTTAAATTCAGTAGTGATTTTAATTGAATATTTTGAATATTTATTTAATTTTTCAAATTAAAACTGAACTTAATTGACTGTGTTAACTATTCTTTTCCAGTCCTTTTATTATTTTATTGTAATTATTAATTATTTGCATGCAATTAAAAAATATTTTAATGATGCTAATGAAGTATAACTTCTCACGCGCGTACATAAGTTACACGCATCCATTTTTTTATCATTAATTTTGGCAGAAATAACAGTTGTGTATGCCTGTAACTGTTTTTGCACAACTTTATGTATAACATATGTGTTTTTTTTATATATGTGCTAATAAATTATATTCAGTAGTGATTTAAATTGAATATTTTGATTATTTATTTAATTTTTAAATTAAAACTGAACTTTATTGACTGTGTTGACTATCCTTTTCCAGTTATTTTATTATTTTATTGTATTGAATTAATTGCATGCAATTAAAAACTAATTTTTAATGATGCCAAAGAAGTATATCTGCTCACGCGCGTTCATAAATACATGCACCTAATTTTTTTATATTTCACCTTCTCATAATAATCATGCTGGAAATACTTTCATGCAGCGGGGCGGGCTTGTAGATATTACAATGGTTTCTTGGGAGGTGTTTTTCCTATCTCTGAATATGTATAAAACATTGGTGGAAGAACATGTAATGCGATGAGCGAGGGGTCGGAGCATTGGTCTGTTGGGTCAGAGACCAGCACCTGTGTTGGTAATTGATTCTGCGGATTGGTGGTTTGTCTTTTCGTTTATTTTATTTGAAAACGTAGCTATAATAATGCTCGTCTGCTTGGGTTATTACAGTTGTAGGGTTTGGTATATTATTAAGTAAATAAGAAAAATAAAAAAGCTTTTTATACCATATCTATTAGTTACTTTTACATTTTATTTATGTTAGTTTGTTAGTAAACCTAATTATTATGTTGATTTTTAGTATTTGTTAGTATAGTTTCAGACATGGATCCCATCTGGGTAAAAGCCTCCTCCATTGCTTCCACTTTTCTCTATCTTTATCTTTCCCTGCTTTCAGCCAGTCCTTGCTTGCCACAGACACAATATCGTCGGACCATCGTTTTCTGGGTCTGCCTACTTTCCTTTTGCCTTTTTGTCCGGTCCATCCAGTGGACTTGAGGGTCCACCTTTTGTCAGTATACCTTGACAGATGAGCCGCCCATTTCCATTTAAGTTTAAGGGCCTGTTCCAGAGCAGATGCTGACTAACAGATGTTAGTCCAGTTTTAATTTAATTAAGTAAATAAGAAGAAAGAATTGTCCTCTCGTATTCTGTATGTTTTATTATTGAGAGTTAATTTTGTAACAGCGACAGTATCAAAAATATATTTTATAGAACCATAAAGTAAAGAAAAAGTTCTAATGAAATTAAACAGCATTATATCAATAGCATTTGGCTCAAAAATTTTACTGAATTTCTTTTCTAATTTATGGTGTTAAATCCTTTAATTTTTGTTAGTTAATATTTTGTGGAACTGTTACAACAGTTTGGTACCAAGAAATTGTTCATATGTTATTTATTATGGATGACTGTTTGTTCCTTAATAAATAAATAAAAATATTTGAAACAAACATCTTTTTTTGTTCCATATTGAAATACAAACAGCAATATTGAGTGTGTGAAAGGAAGCGCACCTAATAATTATAACACTTGTTATTTAATTGACCAAACTGTAGTGTAGTGTGGTCGGTTGTGGTGGGAGCCGCGTTGGTACCTTAGATTAAAACAAAAAGGGTAGATACGGCACTAGCCTCACAAAAGTGATCCGCACCAATTGTGGTCTACGACCCTAATCGCTTTAGTCACAACTTGACATGCAAACGACGTACATGTGAACGCCAAAAAGAAATATTGCTAATATTTTGTGTTTATATGATAAAACAATCCCTAAGTGTGTTTTTAAAAAGTGCTCAAATTGCTCAAGAACTAAAAATAAAATCCACGGCATCACTTTTCATTCGTAAGTACTATAAAATATATTTTTTCAAAAATTGTTGTTTGTTTTGAATCTTATTCGGCAGTGACGTCGAGTACCGGTCGCCCGATTGGTCGGTAATGCAGTGACGCGGATCTCGCCGTCCCGTTCGCGCTGCCGTGGGATCAGTTTTTGTTTGATGCAAGTATGAGCGTACCGTATCTACCCTTATTGTTTTAATCTAAGGTTGGTACTGACCGGCGGAATAGCAGAGGCGTGGTGGTGCAGCGCGCGGGCCGGATGGGGCGCGCGCGGGGGCGGCGCGGGGCCGGGGCCGGGGCCAGGGCCGGGGGCGGGCGCGGGCGCGGGCGCGTGGTGCACCGCCACGCCGCCCAGCCCGTGCCCGTGCGTGTGCGTGTGTCCGTGACCGTGCGTGTGACCGTGACCGTGACCGTGCGTGTGTCCGTGCGCGAGTCCGTGCGCGTGCCCGCCGCCCGACGGACCCAACGGCACCCTGCAGCACACATGCTCATACTATATACGTCGCAACACGTCAACTACCGACACGATATTACTAAAACTGATCGCATACAAATATTAGAAAGACTGCGGCGTTTCCGCGACACGCAAAACGATAGACGCTGAGGGAATAAGTCTGCGGTACTCTTGGACCGACCGGTCATCAAACATAGGTATACCATAATAAGATTTATGTAGTTTCATTGTGATTACCCGGCTGACTGTCGGCCAATGACGTTGACGCATCTCTAGTATTTATATGAATCGATGTAATACGTTTCTCTAATTGATCCGCTGGGTCGTTCTCCGGCCATGCGACAAGGAAATACTACTACAGATATTAAGACGAGTACTACCAAACTTCCACGAGATTAGCAAGATACACCACATCTCGTACCGTAGTTCACAAAATTAAGAATGCAGAAGCTTAACGTACAGCATATTCAACACGTAATAATCTGACTCAGCACAGTGCAATAAACGATTCAATTCAATATATTTATTACAAAAACCATAATGTGTACAAAAGGTAGAAAAAATTAAAGCATAAGTAATATAGGAATAGGAGTGGTACACTGTGTAGGACCTCTTACGTCTCGTTATCTTACGATCAAAATGATGTGGTCTATGCGACCTGTCAACAATCTTGTGACAAATAGGCCACAGACATTGCAGATCTGACCCAAAATAATACACAGACAGAAATCAGCTAGGACACCGACACATCCAATGTATAGGGGTTGAGTAATTATTTTGCAGGTTAAAATTATCCAACCTACATTTACACCAGTCCATTATTCCAAATTGACTTTTTATTACTTTAATTCCCATGTATAATAACTTTAATTCCTATGTATTGAATGAACAAAGTATCCCTCCATTTTGTCAAAATAAACAACATATTTTGCAGTATTTTATAGAGAAATGAATCCAAGTTAACAGCGGCATTTGATGAATGATGATGAATTTGAGCAGTGGCCATCCTATTTAAGGTTTACAATTACTACCATTTTCTGTGTTTTGCCAAAGTCATAGTCGGCCTATCGCTAAAGGAAAGATGAACCTGTACACAACAACTAAAAATAGAATAAAAACTTACAATGTCACTCCGACAATAATATATGACTAGCCGACACAAACAATAATGAAATAATAAACAAAATAAAATGCACAATGGTAAGGTAAGTATTTGTAACAAGGCGTCCGACAGTCAGACGACGCGACCAGGAGCTAGCGAGGGGTCTGTGCTGCTCTGAGACGACATCCTGCATCCTGCGTGTGAGACAGTGTTATTGCAACTGCTCCTGTATTGGAGGGGCCGCGGCCGTGATATATTAGCGTGTCTGAAGAAAGGAGGCGGCAGTTCGCCTTCATCGCCTCAATAGAGACGTCGGTCATATGTTCCTTTGTCTCCATTCACTGGACCAGTTTTCATGACAAAAAGTGCCGCAAAAGAACCCTCGATGTATCAACAAATTACACAATATTAGCATATCAATAAGAGACATAAAATTGAATTACTTTATTAAACAGTGTTCGAGTGAACTGACCCTATTGTTATTGTTTAGTTAATATTATAGTTTCAAATGCCCTAATAACTATTGTTACTTTGATTTAAAAATATTTCTTACTGTAGTGACCAATGATTATATATTTCTATTTTCAGTCTAGTTTTTGTTTTTGGTTTTTAAATACACCCTCTTTTAAAAATAATTTAATTTATGGCCAAGATGTATCAAAATCTTTTCAATAATAGTCAAGATCATTGCGAGTATTGTAGACATTGTGGGTGTTTTTTTTTTTAAATATGTATTGCTGATATATGGCTGAAGTTTTAAAGCTATTCTTGAAGCTTAGGCCTGCTAGCAAGATTAGCCCAGTGTGTTGGAATGGTCCTGAAATCATTAACCATTATATGGCAACTCTTATGGCACTCAAATTCATTTGTAACAACAATATTATTTTACACTAAGTTCTCATTTATTACAGTAATATTATTTATGTAAGTTTGAATTTCAAACATCATGTCGAAAAAAAGCAAGAGATCTTTATCAGTGTCTTATCAAATCCAATAAGATTGTTTCTCCAATATAGTAGTATAATAGTTGTAAATAAATACCTATGACAGCATCCATTTTAAATAATAAAAATCATTTCTGCTTTTCAATGACCAATTTATATATATTGATCTGGAGGTTTTACAGAATTTTTGTAAAATCTATTTTTAGTAATATTCTGCCTTTCTAATGGCATTTTGTGGTATATTGTATATTTATTTAGGCAGTTTAAAGGATGGGCTGGAGTCTAGTACAATCAAAAACATTTATTATAAAGAGCTAATACACTTATTATCATTAATTATCAAATGAATACCAGGGCATCTATTTCATTAAATAAACAAAAGAAACATTTCCATAAATTATTTTTATTTGGGAACACACAAAAAAAAATAAAGCATATTGTGAAACACGAATTAACTACATGGAAGTAAATTAGTGATTGAACATTTTACAACCTCTATTACTAATCCAAAATTCAAGATATTGCTTAAAAAAATATTTTCTACAAAAAATCTTTTCAAGAGCAATTTTTTTATTGTCTTCTAACAAACACATTGCTGTGTATTGCAATATGATCTTAATCACAATAATATAGGACGCAGCAGCGGAGCTCGTAGGTGCAGGTGGTTAGTACAACCAGTTTGAGAATTTAGTCAAGGAACTTTCGCAATGTTCAGTCATAGGATGGGTGACCAAAAACTTATAATCACGAGCTCCTCCATGCTTTGCAAGGCACGTTAAGCCATTGGTCCCTATTGCATCTGCAGTGGTTAGCACCTACACTGGGCCTGCATGGTGTGTCCAGGCCCAATCTCGCTAGTACATATATAGGGAAGGCCCGTACCCCTACAGTGGGGACATATATAGGCTGATGATGATGATGATTAAGCACTTGTTATTTTAGGTAGTACTTATACTGTGTACATGCCACATACTGTGACAATGCAGCAACAAGAATTGAATCTTAAATATTGGAAAATCACAAACATAACCTTTAAAGAATTAAAAAAATAACCTTTACCATTACTTGGATTTCTTTACTTTCTGATTGTTTCTCATTTCATGTTATACTGTTAGTATGCTTAATTAAAAGGACAAAAGCATGAATAGTGGTTAGCAAAAAAAACAGTAAACAAATGTGAACGCTACTCTACCTAGTGAGGGTTACGTGCCTGTTTTCCCTGTGCATCTGATGGGGCGGCATCTGATGATGTCCAGGCAAGCCCTGGTGGCTCGCCAGGTGCTGCGGCGGGTGCCCCGACATAGCCTGATGATGCATGTTCGGGTGATGCATCATCTTTGAGCCCACTGAAGCGGATAATACTTTGATTTAATAAAAACCGCGCATAGCCGACAATATAAACACCAACAATTGCTTGTGCTTTGATGGTAATATCCAAGTCATAACAAATAAGAGCCTTACCTGTAACTTAGCCACAAACTAATCAGTCTTCTTGCTATGCAAAATAACACTATTATCCCGCTCACAAATTGCGTGTATCACTTTTTCTGGCAAACAGTAAAGAAAATCGTCTAGTCGTTCAACATGCGGCCATGTTTATTAAAATGTTGCCACCATGTTGCCACTAAAATGCCTTGGCTTGCCTGGATGAATAGTCTGTGCTTGCCAGCAAAGAGAATAACAATGCGATAAATAATGGCAGAACTACACTTATCTGTCGTGCTTTGTATTGTGACTATTATGTATCTATTATTAATAGATACTCAAAGGTTGTGATACATCAAAGAGCTATATGTTTCATAAATTTACTATGATATGTTAGAGTGAGAACTGTGTCGATATATCACAAACATGTGCAAGTATAAATCTAAAGCAATTATAGTTATGATTTTTTTTTAAACATTTAACTGCTAGATGTTTAAATCTAAAGAAAAGTTTACTAGAAAAAAATCCACGCGGACCAGACAGCGGACGGTTCTCATTTTAACTTGAAAAAGTATTCATTTGACATTGTGGGTTACCTACAATGCGAAGAGATGGCGCTGCCTTGCAGCTTAAGGCTAGGAAAATTTCGACACGGCTAATAGGGCCGTGGTAACATAATGGTCAGTGCATTCGCCCGGATAGCGAAGGATGCGGGTTCGAGTCCCGTCCGCTGCCTGGTCCGCGTGGATTTTTTTCTAGTAAACGTTTCTTTAGATTTAAACATCTAGCAGTTAAATGCTTTAAAAAAAATCATGTGCAAGTATACTTCTACCTGTGCTAAATGTATGAAACTGATCGCGTCACAACACAATACGACAGATAAGTACCTATATTTCTGCCTTAATAATAATGATTTATGTTATTACCAATATTCCAATTTTAACGACAAAAAAATAAAGGGAAATATTTTAATCCTTACTAATATAACCCGAATATTACGTACAAAGGTTAAGTAAAATTGGCATTTGTATTTTTTTGGTGATCATTTACTTTAATTACTATTTGAGTATCATTTATGCCGGTACTTCACTTGGCTGTTCGTGTTTGCTATTTGTCATTTTGTCAGCAGGTTGTCTTTATTACACATGGTTATAAAGAGTACAAATAACAAACACGAATAGCTAAGTGAAATGCTGGCCTCAAAAATAAGCCGTATTTCTACGCTGATGAATCTATACGCAGACTACGGCTGAGGACGTTAATATGGTCATCGAAATGTTAAACCATGACTTGCAACTTATTAGTGCTTGCTCCGCTGATTTTGGAAAATTTCTCCCCATCAACATATAAATTTTTGAGGTTGCCTGCAGAGAATGCTTTTAGCGTTAAGTCCGCCTTTTGTCCATTTTTGTAATTGTGGCAATAAAGTTTAATTAAATAAAATATTTCTAAAGACAGAAATATACTTATCTGTCATGTTGTTTTGTGACGCGATCGGTTTCATACATTTAGTACGGTTAGAACTATACTTGTGTGTCACGGTGTGTCGACAACAATCTCATTCTAACCAAACTCACTCAGTCTATCTAAACGTATGCAACAGATAGCTCTCTCTCTGTAATACGTCAAGTCAAGATATATTATAGAATTTGCGCATCAACAGACTGTACGCACTAGCTGTGTGTGACAGGCAGGCAGCGAATTGTTGCGACGACCAGTGGGCCAATCGCCTAACCAGATTGCTTTGGAAAACGCTATCGCTTACGATTTCATTTTGTTATTTCTAACCGCCGAAGGTTTTCAAATACCTCACGCTCATTTTCTTTAACATTGTTATTACCAATGCAAAAGAAAAAAAAAGAGCGCGAGGCATTTGAAAACCTCAGGCGGCTAGAAATAACAAAATGAAATCGTAAGCGATAGCGTTTTCCAAAGCAATCCAGTTAGGCGATTGGCCCCCAGACACGTCTTTCCCATTGGGCACTTTGGACAAGTGGCCAGGGCCCCGAGATCGATAGGGGGGCCCCCTCAGATCAAATACAAAGTCCCTAGTTCCTGTTAAATCACCAAACGGAAGTCATAGGGGCCCCATTATCCTAATATGCCCATGGCCTCCAATAGGTCAAAGACGGCACTGGCAACGACTATTATTCGCAGCGAATGCACTCGCTGCTAGTATTTGCTGTGTGTGACTGCAGATTCACACAAATTAGCCAAGTCTCAAAAAGGTTTGTGTTATGGGATACTAAGGTTAAGTAACGGATAGAGGTGTCGCGTCGGGCATGATTCTTTAAAACTAAACTTAGACAACTGTGCAGCGTTGTCATTCTCCATACAAAATGAAAAGGAGAGAGTGATGTTAAGTTTTAAGTTAAGAAATTCATACCAAGGAGACGACACCAGAATACGTATAAAAAGAATGTTTAATGTAGAAAAATATGGGTGCGTGTACTTAAGTACGCGCGTGAGAAGTTATACTTCTTTTTGGAATTATTAAAAAATAGTTTTTAATTGCATGCAGATAATTAATTACAATAAGATAATAAAAGGATTGGAAAAGAATAGTCAACGCAGTCAATAAAGTTCAGTTTTAATTTGAAAAATTCAATAAATAATCAAAATATTCAATTTAAATCACCACTGACTTTAAGTTATTAGTCCATATGTAATTAGCACTTGTAAGTAACTAAAACACGTTGTGTCTATATAGAAACTAGAAACATGTGGATAAATATTATAAATATGAAAACAGTGATCAGAGGCGACGAGCGTGCCAACATTGTTTTTGACAACGCGATCATCTTATGGAGCTCCGTGGATCGTTCAAAGTACCTTTCGAACAGAAGTCTAATTAGACACTAACATTCATAACGCGCCCGCGGCCAACTTGATGGTGTTACTATTGTGTTACAGTGATGCGCGCGCATCTTAAAATTTCACTCTCATATTTTTTTCATAACGCGGCTAAAGAAGTATAACTTCAATAATATATATATATATATATAATATGATTCAACTAAGAATAGGACCGACTGGGCGCCATATTGTGACGTCAAAGCTGTCAATTCAAACCAAATAGGTAGTGTGAGCAAAAAAAAGATTTTATTTAATAAAGTTTATTTACTAAGATTAAGTGAGAAAAACATCAGATTTTTTTTATAAAATTTATTTAGTAAGATTGAGAAAAAACAACAACTGTTTTTTTAATAATATTTATTTATTAAGACTGTGTGAGAAAAAACATTTAGCAGAATCTAGCTTTTCATTTATGCTCATCTCTGCATTACCGCCGGAGTAGTTATGAATAATCATGCACTATTACTAGGTCACATACGAACATGCATCCTTTACGTAAACGTAAGTTTTAAATCGAGTTTTTCCAACTTAAAGTGACATTTGGTTGACGATTTAGGTTATCAACCAGTCATAGCCAAAGCTCAATAAATGAAAAAAATATCAATATTTGTTATAGTTTGTTTACAAATGTTTGGTTTTTATTTTAGAATTAGCCGAGTGCTAAGAAAGGGTTCCAAGATTTTTTGCAAGCCGTACTTTTCAAGCGACGTTTGACAGACGAAGGTCATTAGCTTTCCTATTTTTATTTGAATCGCACCATATATATATATTGATATAAGTACAAATGAATATGAATAATCACACTGACATTTGTCCCGCTGCTAGTTGAACCCCGGGACCTCGGGGGTAGCTCTTGGAACCCAGCGTACATAGAAATCTGTCCAATGATAAATCATGATCCTCTAAAAGAGCGGCAAATTTAAACACGTTGTTAAACATGCGTTTTTTTAGGGACAAAATAGACTTGATACTTTGATTAATTGATAACTATATAAATTAATGAAATGTCAAACAGATCTAAGTTGTCTTTTACTATTTGAGTATGCAGTGACTTGGTTTTACTGAAAGAATTATCTTTTTTTTTGTGGTTTTGGATGTATGAAGTCGGTATTATTTTTGTAACAACTTTTTAGCTCAGTTTTTGTTTTATATCATTTCTAACATTGGTCTAGGGTTATACATCCTTGAGTAATTAAAACAACGCGAGTTACTTATCATTTTTATTAAAAAAAATGTAGAAAACTTTACAATTCGGTTTGACAAATGTACAGGAAGAGCACGGACATGAAATGGAAGTAGTCCTCGTCGTTGTTGATCTGCACGTCGGTGAGCGGGGAGTACGCAGGGCCGGGGCTGGGGCCAGAGTCGGGCCCGTGGCCGGGGCGGTCGTGGACCCGCGCCGTGTCCGCCCACGACACGCGCTTGAGGGCGGGCCGGCGGCGGGCGGGCGGCGGCGCCGGGGCGGGCGTGGAGTGCGACACGGGCGAGGGCTCCGGCTCCGGCTCGGGCTCCCGCGCGCGCCGGTCGAGGTAGTGTTTCCGGAGCACGTACTCGCGCATATCGGCCGCGCTGCGTTTGGGGGGTGGCAGCGCTAGTCGCTCAAGATCGTCGGACTCGCGCTCGTCGGATTCCTTCTCCCGCTCGCTGTCGTCGAGTCGTCGCTCGCGCCGCGCCCGCTGCACGCGCGCCGTCTCCTCCTGGTCGTCTCCCAGCGGCCAGACGCCGAGCTTGTTGCGAGTGAGATGGTGCCTGGAGTGCGCGGCGCAGAGGATGCGCTTGCGCACGAACTCGTGGAAGGTGCCGAGCTCCGAGCCCAGCTCGCGCCGGATCAGCTGCTTGTGGCGCGCCGGCACCAGAGGGTCGCGGATCGCAAGCAGCGCCTGTATTAAGATATTGGTGCTATATGAATAAGGACGTTTATGAAAATTTACATTTTATCTATAGACTATAGATAAATACGCGATTGACGGGTCAGTGGAAGCTTTCAGCCCGGTAGGCAGTACTGGGCCAAAGCCTAAACTGATTTGTCAAATTGCGTATGTATTTATATTCTAGTATTCGACATTTTAGAAAACCCCTATCAACGAATATCGGTGACTGGTACCATGTTTTGTTACATTTAAATTAATAATTAAATTTTCAAAATTTATAATTGCAGAAATATCGAAGTTTTATTTTTTTGTTTTTTCGGCGATAATCCGCCATACACAGTGACGTGACGGACTCGCCATACTACATATAGGCACCCACCTGCGCGGCCAGCAGCGTGGTGGCGGCCTCGAGCGCGGCGCCGGCCAGGCGGTGGTCGAGCCCCGCCGCGGGCGCGCTGAGCGCCATACACAGTGACGTGACGGACTCGCCATACTACATATAGGCACCCACCTGCGCGGCCAGCAGCGTGGTGGCGGCCTCGAGCGCGGCGCCGGCCAGGCGGTGGTCGAGCCCCGCCGCGGGCGCGCTGAGCGCCATACACAGTGACGTGACGGACTCGCCATACTACATATAGGCACCCACCTGCGCGGCCAGCAGCGTGGTGGCGGCCTCGAGCGCGGCGCCGGCCAGGCGGTGGTCGAGCCCCGCCGCGGGCGCGCTGAGCGCCATACACAGTGACGTGACGGACTCGCCATACTACATATAGGCACCCACCTGCGCGGCCAGCAGCGTGGTGGCGGCCTCGAGCGCGGCGCCGGCCAGGCGGTGGTCGAGCCCCGCCGCGGGCGCGCTGAGCGCCATACACAGTGACGTGACGGACTCGCCATACTACATATAGGCACCCACCTGCGCGGCCAGCAGCGTGGTGGCGGCCTCGAGCGCGGCGCCGGCCAGGCGGTGGTCGAGCCCCGCCGCGGGCGCGCTGAGCGCCGACGACACGGACGTGACGGACTCGCTGCGGGCGCCCCCCGCCCCCGGCCCCGCCCCGGAGCCCGGGCTGCTGCAGGAGCAGGCGCGGCGCCGCCCGCGCGGGGACCGCGACCCGCCCGGCCCGCTCGCCTCCTCCGAGTGGTACGACTGGAAAACGAACGATATCATACGACACCAGAGCTAACACCTTCGACTAAAAAAAAGTTTTAGCCGTTATGATATCTATACCTCCCGCGGCGTTTTTACTTAAATTTATGCGAAAATGATGCTCAATATGTTGTGAACTTTAATTTATTTTCCCCGTAATGATTATGTTATAATAGGGGTGGTGGTATGGTAAACGAAATTCTATTTAGACCGACGGTTAGATGATCAAAAAATAATGGACACATATTTTTTCTTTGGGCAATCAACCAAAAAATGACAAAGTTATAGCGCATCAAAGTATGGGAGTAGGGGCTCGGGACGTCACTTTTGAGTGAATTTTCTCTTATAAGTGAACTCAAACATGACTTTTCAAATCAATATATCTCTGCAATGTTTATATTATGTGAAAAAAGAAAAAATACGTGTCCAATACTTTTTGATAATCTACCTGATAAACGAAAAGAAAAAAAATTAGTCATCATCCCTATTATAATATCGTATAGAACGAGAATGTTACACTGACATGGTTGAGGAACCTGGTGAGCAGACAGACGGCGGCGAGCAGCGTGCCGAAGGTGAGCGCGGGCTGCGGGTCGGGCGCCAGCTTGGGCGCGCCGAACTGCAGCTCCACCAGCGGCGCCCAGCTGCAGCCCGCGTCTGCACCAGCACCCGCGCCCGCGTCCGCCACCAGCGCCAGTAGCGGCGGGCTGAGCGACACCAGGCACAACGCCGCGCAGTGCATCACCTCCACGCATCTGCACACACGGCATGCGATCACGCTTGTTGACACAAAAACGAATGATACACTGCGGTTGTCATCATCATCATCATCATATCAGCCGTATGACGCCCACTGCTGGACAAAGGCCTCCCCCAAGGATCTCCACAAAGATCGGTCCTGCGCTGCCCGCATCCAGCGTTTTCCCGCGACCTTCACCAGATCGTCGGTCCACCTTGTAGCGGGTCTTCCCACTGAGCGTCGTCCGGCACGCGGTCGCCATTCGAGAACCTTTCCGCCCCAATGACCATCGGTTCTCCTCGCTATGTGTCCCGCCCACTGCCACTTCAGCTGGGCTATTCTTCGAGCTATGTCGGTGACTTTCTACGGATTTCGTCATTTCTGACTCGATCACGCAGGGAAACACCGAGCATAGCTCTCTCCATTGCCCGCTGGGTGACCTTGAGCCGTCCTATGATTGCTGTGTAGTGCCGGCCTAGAATAGAATAGCACTACCCCCTCTCATCCCTTGGGTGTCGTAAGAGGCGACTAAGGGAAACTTCACAAGGAGATGGGCAGCAGCATCTCCTTATGCGAATCGGTATACTGCGATCGTGGCGTGGCGATTATGGCAAACCCCCCATATGAAGCGAAACAACACGAAACGGCCCCTAGTCCCCGGCGGCCCCGCTATTCCTAGCTACGGTAGCGGCCACGGTGACGGCGGGGCAGGGGATGCGAAGAATCCCCGCGTAGGACACGGCTACCACAACAACTACGGTTGTAAGGCTCTTTATTGTCACTCTATACGAGTATGTACTTATATATGGGGAACAGATATCTGTGCATATATTGATATATAATCACTGTTACGTAATGAAACAAAGGAGTCTGGCAAACAACTGATTTATTGATACCCACATTATGTTAATTACAAAATACCCACAACTTCCCCTTAGTTTTAAAATCAAAACGTAATTACAAATTGCCTTATTATAATTTAGCAAACAATAAAAGGAAATTATTTGCAATTTCTTGCTTTACTTCGAGTTAAAGGAGGAGAGAAGTCTCCTTGACAATCGGATGCTTCCTCATCTGAAAGCACATATTCATCGTCTGAAACATCACGATAATCCTCATGTACAGTATCATCATAACTAGCTCCAGCATTAGTTTCATTAAATTTCGTATCGGATATTTCAGATTCATCCCTACACACTGCCTTAATTAGATGTCGACGATTACGGCGATAAATGCCTCTTTTGTTCTTAATTACGTACGATCGCGGTGTTGGCGCCTTCTCAACAACGGTACCTCTAATTATTTTGTTATTGTTTTCTAACATAATCACGTTATCCCCGACATCCAACTCCGGCAGTGGTTTACAATGTTTATCATAATAATATTTATTTTTTATTTGCTTTTTTAACAACTTTTTATGGTTTTCTTTATCGTCACAATATTTTCGTTTCAATAAATCAGGATGGACTGGGAGTCTACATTGTAATCTTCGACCCATCATAAGCTGTGCAGGAGAATCCAAATCATCGCGAGGTGTATTTCTATAGCTTAATAAATTTAAATAAAAATCAGAATCACTTTCAATAGACTTTTTTAATATCCTTTTTATAGTTTGCACAGCCCTTTCACTTTTTCCATTAGATTGAGCATAATAAGGAGATGATGTGATATGGTCAAATCCCCACTCAGAAGCAAATTTTTTAAAACTGCGACATGAATATTGCGGCCCGTTATCACTTAACACTACTTCCGGTATACCATATCGAGCAAAATTTTCCTTCATGACATATTTAGACGTGCAATCTTTTAATTGGGACACTTCTATAAACCCTGAAAAATAATCTACTAAAACCAAGTAAACTTTATTGCCGTACTCGAATAAATCGGTGCCAACTTTATTCCAGGGTAAATCTGGAATTGGAATTGGAATCAAAGGTTGTTTTGCGGGTTTATTTGTATTCTCCTGACACGTCCTACATTTTCTAACATAAGTTTCTATATCCTCACTGATACCCGGCCAGAACAACACTTCCCGCGCTCGCCTCTTGCAACGGTCCATTCCCAAGCGGCCATCATGAATAATTTTCAACATTTCGGATTTTAATGATGATGGTATCAGAATTTGTTTGTTCTTAAATATCACCCCATCAACGCAATATAACTCTTCTTTCATAGAATAAAAGTATTTTAAAGAATTTGGTAAATCGTATTTATGTAAAGGCCACCCATTATTAATGAATAAAATTAATTCCTTCAACGTATTATCTTTGGCGGTCTCTTTTTTTATAATTGTAAGTTTATTTTTTGAAATAGGCATATTCTCTATTAACATTTGTACTTGATACAAAATCGAGTTACTGATCTCATCATCACACAATTCCGGCAGAGGCGCACGCGACAAAGGGTCCGGTATGAACATATATTTTCCTGGCTTATAAGTGACTACTAAGTCATAGCCTTGTAATTTAAGCATCATTCTTTGCAAGCGCGCTGGGATCGAATCTAATGATTTTTTGAAAATACTTTCTAACGGCTTGTGGTCCGTTTCAATCACTACTTTATTCTTACCATATAAATATTGGCGGAACCTTTCACATGCAAAAACAATTGCTAGCATTTCCTTTTCTATTTGTGCGTACCTAACCTGCGTGTGTGTGAGCGTGCGTGATGCATATTCTATTGGACGCCCCCCTTGCAGCAGCACCGCGCCTAGTGCCACACTGCTAGCGTCTACTGATACTACGACTGAGCCGCTAATATCATACAATGCCAACACAGGCGAATGACATAAAAGCTGTTTTAATTGCTCAAATGCACATTTATGCCCATGCTCCCAACTCCACATGGTACCTTTTTTTAATAATCTAGTGAGAACATAAGTTTGTTCTGAATAGTTAGGTATAAATTTTGAAAGATAATTAACTACACCCAAAAATCTTTCTAAGCCTTTTCTGTCACTAGGCTCGGGCATATTAATTACGGCCTTTACTTTTTCAGGGTCCGGCTTGATACCATTTTTTCCAAAACAATGACCCAAATATGTTACTTCCTCTACGCAGATGCGACATTTATCTTTATTGTCACAATCACTTAGTACGCCAGCACCGCTTCCCACCTCCCGTCACAAATGGACGGCAGACACGATAAAATATTTATTTATAGAATGTCTAATAATTAATCACTACACTCATCCCAACGAATTAAAAATGATATGGAATCATAATTCTCTAACAAATCCGCTAAAACATGGCTATAGATTATTTAAAAAAAAGTAAGGGTTCAATATGAGAACTTCGATAATGTAACCCAACGTGTGTAAAAAATACCAAAAAATAGCCTTATATCGCGTACGCTGCCGAAGTCATTGACAATAGAGCAAAGTGATGTACTAAAGTTTTATAGAGGATACCAATATCTACAAAAAAGTCCGCGATACCATATGTCTAACTATTACAGTTATGTCACAACTAGAGGTCCCCTGCGGTTTCACCCGCGTTAATTTGAAGAGAAAGGTTTAAATTGAGTCAAACTTAAAATATAGACATCATGGATTTTTTTACAGAACTTTTAAAGGAGAACAATTCCGCTATACATATGATTTTTGTGTAACTTTAACCGTTTCAAACTTAAACTGAAATCATTTATTGCAACCATAATCTGTACAGTGAGTACTTAAAATATGAGCATTATGGACCTTCGGGCACGCAATTGTTTAAAAGAGAGGATGTGTTTTACAAATGAACAATACTAAAATTATAATTGGAAGATAAATATTGTTTTCGTACCACTTGCTCAAAAAAGGGACATTCTATGCCACAAAAAGCGAACATAACAATAGTCATTTTTAATCTGTTAAAAACAGGGAAAGAAAATTGTACTGAATTTCATTCATCCTCTAGGGGGAGAATGTGATTTAAATTTGGAATACTTACCGATATTTATACTGAACTACATCTGTGTTTCACCATTGAGTTTGTATATAAAGTATTATACATCTTTTTGAAAAAGGAATACGCATTTATTGTGCAGTTATGATTATTAAATAAAATTACGAAAATATATTTAATTGGACCAATGTTTCGAGGGTTAACTTTTACTTTTAATTGTCATTATTTTTAATAAATGCTTATCTCATATTATTATTGTGTTATTTTTTTCGCAAATGGTACGAAAAGTAGAGTATTTTCCTCGGTGATAAAGCTGTTTTAGTCTTGGGTGAACTTAAATCCCTCGCTACACTCAGGACTCGTCGAGTCCTGAGTGTAGCGAGGGATTTAAATCGTCACCCGCGACAGAAGACACTGTGTTTAAATCCCAAAAAATCTTTGAAAGGTGCAAGTATGATAAAAATAAACCACCGTTCAAATTCAAAGGAATAAATGTATTCGAAAAGAAACCTTATTTTCTAAGGCTTATATAATCGAGTAAGAATCTTAACATCGCCATTCAGACATCACACTATGCAAAATGATGGCGCCATCTAGTGACCGTTGACAACAACACTTTCACCTACTAACATGCATTTGGGGTTTATTGGCGTAAACATACCGCCCCCCATGGACCGAGTGTCCATCAAAAATATTTACTATGCCACAAATCATATTACGCAAAGAACTAAAATATTAAAACTATGCCACAAATCATATGCAAACTTAAACACAACTAAAATAAAACTTACGCGCGTACAATATTCGGCTATTTTCAATCTACAAGCTTTCTACACTACACTACTTATTCTATTATATTTTATTAAAAGCATAAGCATTAGATAAGCCAGCATATTACATTCATACCTACCTTATTATAATAAATTTCACTCTAGTATAGGCAATACTCTTACTTTCGACATAGGCCTTTTAATTATACTAGATCCCTTGCATTTAATACTAACCACTCTAGTGAGCTTATCGGATCCACAATGCTTTTCAACTATCACTCCATACAACCATCGGGCTGGGGGTAAGTCATCCTCCATAATCAACACTATGTCTCCCACCTTTGGTTCCGATAAAACAT